CAACTCGTCGTTCCCCATCCACGTTCCACTCAAGGGCCTGGCTTGTCGCCTGATATCACCGAATGGTCTTCACAGTGCATGCCCAATCCATCTCCACTTCCTTCTGCATATCTGTTGAGTGATAGCTTCTTGGTTGGTTACTTCCCAGAGTTCCTGTTTGCTTATTCTTTATGGCCATCTGAGCTTCAGTAACCAGCCAGAGTAGACAGTTGTTGATCAATGTCTGTACTTTTTTCGAAATCCCTTTCGTAACACACCAACTCTCTGAACCATACACGAGCACTGACTTGACTGAAATTGGTGTTCAAAATCCGGATGTTGTTCACGCTTTAGGCTGAGTGCAGAAGATCTCCACACTGGTTTCACGCTTATGAAAGCCTATCTTGCTTTCTCGATCCTGGCTGCTTTGACGTCCTCGTCTGTGCCCCTGCCACCTGAAGTTGAAACAGTGCTGCCTTGGCTGGATAGGTGAAAGAGGCGACTTCCTTCAAGTTTCTCCCATTCATGGTGATCGCAGCTTGTTGTTGTTGTTGGTGGTGGTGGCGACGTTGTTGGTTGGGCATCATCATCACCTCTGTCTTCTCTATGCTCACTTGAAGTCCCGTCTTCGCTGCCCTGCCCTGCCCTACCTCTTCTGCCAACTTGTTAGTTTTCGCCTGTACATCTTCCACTTTGTGCAACAACACATTCGACATTAATCATCATTGACGAAATCAAAATCTTCTAGGATCTTTTCGCGATCCAGCATATCCCTCTCTTCTCGCTCCCCACTGTTTCCTGCATGATCCAGTCCAGTCCACTACAATCACGAATATCATGGGGGATAGTAGGTGGCAGCCTTGTTTTACTCCTTCCTGTCTTCACTTCACCTCAAAGGCATCACTGAGCTTCCCATTGTGAATTACTTGGCTGGTATGTGGCATGCGTCTTCATATAGCTGTTGTTGAATGAGGCTGATAAAGGTTTGTGGTATTCCGTAGTGTTGAAGCAGTTGGCAAATTCCTTGCAGGTCGACGCTAGCAAAGGTAGAGTGTTGATTGCCACTCTATACTCTGTTCTATGATGATGCGTTGTGTAGCGTTGCAATTCGGTCCACACATGATTTGCACTTCCTGAATCCAACCAGCCTGTTCCGGTTGTAATTTTGAATCGAGCGCATCTTTTAGTCTCTCCAGGATAATGTAGCATAATATTTTGCTGGAGGTGGAGCATGATTCCTCGCCAGTTCTTGCAAAGGCTTAGGTTTCCCTTCTTTGGGAGTTTGACAGGGTAGCCCTTCTTTCAATCAATCGGCAGGTACCTTCCCTCCTTCCAAATCTTCTGCAATAATGGTGTGAGCTTATCCACTGCTGATATCTTTGCGTCTGTTTTCAGTGCTTCTGGAGGAATTCCATACGCATTTCAGCAGCTTTATAGGATTCCGGTACCGCTGGTAACTAGTTAACTAGGCGAGGTTATATATATATATATATATATATATATATATATATATATATATATATATATATTGTAGGTATAATAACAGTTATCAAAATATACTTCATCTGAAAGACAAGACATACATCAAAAATGATGTTTTAGAAAGTTAGTCAATTGAACTTTGACGTCCTGTCCAGTTGTCGTTATTGTCGGCTAGGTATACGTGAAAGATGAAAATAGTGACAAAAACGATTATTCATTTGAGGGTGTGTCAGAGCAACTGTTCACAGTGCTACCACCGACTATTTCGATTAAACCAATAATTTTCTGAAATGCAGAGTGCACTGAAAGGTATTCTGTGGTTTAAAAGCAATGACTATATTAAAATTGTTTCAAAAATTGTGGAGTCTTTCACAGTTGGCGTAATTGCCCAATATAAATGAGCCCAGTTACACTTTACAAGGGAAAGATGAGCTGAAGAAGAAACAATTTCAATAGCCACAAATAAATTAGTTAGACTTATAGAACAATTTAAAGTCGAAATGTATTGACCACCAGATAATGTAGCTGTTTTGTTGGTTAAATGGGTTTATTTATTGAGTTGAACATACAGCTGTGAATTGGATTCTTGAAAAGATTTTATCCCCTTCTTAGAGAAGATCAATGTCTGCTTCATACAAAGTCATACATCGTTAAGATGTTGTATGTCAGCTTCTATATCATCTTTAGTTATACACTTGTGAAGATGAAGGCTGTTGCTGCATAGTTTTTAAAAAGGAAACCAAGTTTATTTCAAACTGAGACATCTGAAAAGTTATTTCAAAACTTTTTCAATTTTGTTTACACGAACTGGTTGATGGGTGAAAAGTAATGTAGATCTCATTGTGGTAAATGGTTTATAAAGTCTATCTACCAAGTATATAGTGTGGCCATTTAGGCTAAACGATACAAGACAAAAATGAACTATTTTGATATGAATCACTATATCTAAGTTTATGCTTGATTGCATTCGTCAGAAAAGGATACCAGCACCGGCAAGGGAACTCTTATTAGTCGACGGCTTGAAAATTACTGTCAACTGGTAATCAATTCACCTGTATAATCCATTCTTATAAAGAATCAGATGTGATTTGAATAGCTTAGCGGAAATGTTTGGATTCGGGGCTGTGACGAAGGTCAACGTGCTACAAATAATATGAAGTCTTTCGAGGTGATAGATGGATACATATAAGTATGGCCCGCAACATGTAGTATCAATTACGTGTAATTTTGTAATTTCAGCCGAAATACTGTTGGTTCTTTTCTTTTTTAATTTTCCACCTCATTTTGTGAATTTTGGTTTCATACTACTTACCATTACCGAGTAGTATAATTCCTATCCTCACATAATGTTACCATACTTATAAATTTTACATTGCTTATCTCCTATAATCATATTTTGTTCATCACTTCAACACCATAGGATATTGGTGTCTTTAACATCTCATGTATGCACTGTGCTCACGTCAACTGTTTATCTGAATATTTGTTCATCTTACGTTTTTTTCTTCTCTGTGAATCTGCGGTATCTTGACTTTTCCACCGTCGTTTTCCGCGAACACAGCTTTACTGCGTTACGATGTCTTTGACGGAAATTAGTCCACAGATATCTTAGGGTTCAAGGTTTTCAGTTTAATAGCCACTTATTAATACAGTAGAGTACTTCAAACAAATCATATGCTTTACATATAAGTCGAGTGTTTGGTTTATTTGTCGAAAAACCAATTGATCGTTTTGGCTATGTAATTTCTAGAAAGTAATTCATAAATATTTTTTGGCCTATTTTCATCAGTTCACTCAATTTTCTTTCAAATGATTACATGCTTATATAAACACAAGCTATGGAACTTTGAAAGCCTAGTGTTAGCTTAGTCAAAATAAACACAAAATAGTACTCATTTATTTCACCTTAGGAATAACATGAGATGACTAAGCTATGAAATGTCCTACCGGTAAATGAGCTTTAAAATTGATTTAATATATGCAATAAGCTTTCCCTGACTTTTATTTGGGCGTGGTTCCACATTCAACTGATTTTTCGAAAATTCACGCATGCAAATACATGTATACATAAAAATCTGACCAAGTATAATGTAAAAATAGAATGCTTCGTACTGTAAAGTAGAAAACAATGTTTATATACTTAGAGCTACTTAACAACTCATTGTCTTATGTTAGAGTGAAAGAGATTTGAATTTCACTTTCGATGGTCATCAAGAGTATTCTCAACGATTAACAAGTAGGTGAACAGAGCTGGAGAAAAAATATTCAAAAGATAATGAAAAGACTGAATATTGTTTTTTCGGTGAAAAGTAATGATATCTGAAGTCTAAGAAATTCATTATACAAGATAATTTACCTATTGAAATGGTGGAAAGTACTTTTAGCTCCAATAGGTTGGTTTAACTATTCAGCTCAGCATGATAAACAACACCGGAATTTGTTGATTGTTTACTACTGATTTACTGATATAAGTGAAGGAATTTTAGGACTGAAGGAGGTCATTTATACCAAAAGCAGACACTATATTTCACTGACACATAAGCTATTTATGCATATAAAGAACATTTTTAATTGTAAAAGTGTAAAAATCAGTAGCAGCACAGTAATCATTATCGCGCACTTACATCAATTATTGCACCTAGCAATGTCCATTCACTGTGACATGTATTATCATAATTAGGCTACTAAACTCATTGACATTGAATAATTTGTGTAACTTGTCTTGTTTGAAAAAAACAATAAGTAGAAAGTAAATATCTTAGAAAATGCTTTCATATGAAGAAGTATGTACAACCTCAGGTGATTAATTTCCACTTGATTACTGAAACGTTTACGGTCCAGTTCAATCCAGAAGATTAGAAAAATCACCACTTAGTCATTCATTCAGGGTAAGATCAATCTGTTTAAGACAATGTGAAGCATATGCAGTAGTAAATGTAAAGGTGATCATTATGACATTTTCAACGTTAAACGATAGCTGATCAGGACATTTCCAACAAAACGAACTCTCTAAAGCTTAGGTCGAAGTCATAACCTGAATTTTAACACAGATGACAACACAAACCAGTTAAGTTATAGCACAAACTTATTCGCGTCGGTAAATCCTGATTACTAGAAGCTAACCCAGTAGCTCAGTGATGGGAATATGAAGTACCTGGAATCCAAATATCAAGTGTTCGATCTCAGAATAAGTCGGAAAATAGTCTACGTTGAAAAGTTTCATTATCAACATTCATTGATTCCGGTTCCTTATGGACATTTTATAGAGGTGGAGAGAGAGAGAATAAAAAGCAACAGCAAAACTTCGTTTAGACAGTACCTAGCAGGCAAACAGAGAAGCATGCGAATAAAACAGACAAACGATCAGTGTAATCACTGAGGTAGTAACAAGGACAGAAATTATTAACAAAAGTATACATTACCTAAGCATACATATAAGTGTATTTAATAAGTATGGCTCCAGGGGCGTATACACTCTTATTTTTGTTATATATATATATATATATATATATATATATATATATATATATATATATATATATATATATATATATATATATATCACGTATAATTTGTACAATGCACTACATTAGTAAACAAGTAACTAAACAGATAATTAAAAATAGTGACGAAAGGAAATAACTATGTGTCACAAAAGTGAACATAGAGACAATGGTAACAATAACATTGATAAAGTAAGGTAGTTATTCTTTTGAAGTCAACAAATGAAAGCTGTGCTAGGTGTGTATAAGTTCCATCCACAATCAGAAACATTGCGCATATCAATCACATGGCAAATTTTCCCCAGTCGAAGGTAACAGTGCTACCAGTGATTGTAGTTGGGTGGTATTGCATAACATTTACTCCAACACGTACATCATATACACACGACACACACACACACACACACACGAAGTATGCAGGATAAATGAAAGGGCAAAATAAAAGAGCAAGGCGAAAATAAAATAATAATAAATAAATGATTACAAATCAATCAAGTAGTATTTGCTTTCTTATAGAAAATAGGAGAAAAGAGAATGCAAATACCAAAACAAAAGATCAATATCCAAGTAAGTAAGATTTACACTAAAGAATATGCGACAATTAGAATTAAAAAAAACCTGGGAAATATATATTATCAGAAAGCAGTGATCTTTAAAATATCCTTTATATGGTGAATGGAGTCGAGGGAAAGTGGACTGAGATGATGGTACGAATGTTGAGAAAAAATATTTTCGATCAAAATAAAAATCAATGCTTGAAATAAATCATGTAGAAGAATAAGCGAAGCACACTTCATATGTGTCTGTGAGTATTCGCTATGTGAATGCTCAATCAGGGGAGTATAGAAGCAGATAATAAGAAAGACAATGATACAAATAAATTACACATAAAAGCAAACCAATTTCCGATTAATATTATGATTGACGAAAGATAATGGTACTAGTAATGATATTGCACATTATTCACCGGATTCTTTGTGTTGTGATTGTATTTTAAGATTTTGAAACAAGACCAGGATGAAATAAAAGCAAAAAAGCGAAACAGGAAGGAAAGAAACAACACAAATGAGAAGTAAGTACAAACAACTTCTCGTAGGAATATATTTACTGCAGAAATTACTCCTAATAGTATTCATCATCTGGTAGTTCATGTTCACTTTTTGTATTATCATTGTAACTAGCAAGTATTGTAGTAAAAGATACACCAGGAAGATCAGCTGAATATACGACATTATCACTTAGTAACTGTTTGGAAAAGGCAGTGGTAGTCGACGAAGAACAAGGTGGAATACCAGTTTGATGAGCAGTTACAGCAGTACTAATAGCAGCACTGTTTTGATCTTTAGATGGGTTGGGAAACCCTTTAACAAAGTCACCAACATTATCATTTTTACGAACTGTTACTGTATGATAACGATGCTGATGTTGACTAGTCGGTTTCGTTTGATGGAAAAGACCTTTTCCAGTGCTTGGAGTTGTATTGGTACTGGAGTGGTACGGCTGATCCATTTTCATAAAATCAGACGAGTTTGTCTGTAGATTAGGCTGGTGACCATTAGTAGTAAAGATGGTACTATTTGAGAATTGTGGGTTAAAAGTGGAACCAGCAGTAGCAGTATCAGTAGTATAATTATTGCTGCTGACACTCGTGGAAACAGTACCAAACCTTTGTTGCTCCTTTGATGCTGTCATCTTTATTACTGGTTGGGCATTGGTAAAAGGCAGCTGAACAAATTCATTAGCAATCGTACTATTATGAACAGTTGCTGGTTCAATGGGTATAAAACGGTGCAGTTCTTGATTCAACTGTTCCAATTTATGCAAGTATTCACAACTAGTGGCACTATCCACTTGGTTATTCAGTTCACTGTGAGGATCATTCGAAAATAACAACTTGCCAACCACTATGTTAAGAAAAGAAAAAGTCAAAACAAAACTAAACACGATGCGGTAAACCAGTTACATGTTTGTGCACTTAGTTGCAAAAAAGTTACTATTATATATAAGCTTCTAAGGTTCAAATGCATAAAATAACATTAAACTCTATTCATCTGTGCCTAAAGGTTAATCTGAAAAAAATACAAGACGGAGAATCAACTGTAAAGTTACTCTTGATTACGGGTGTCTATCAAAACATTGATTTAACACGGTAGTTTATTGGCATTCGATTACACTAATATTGCTGTTATGTCCTTAAAAGGTTTTTTCTCATCTATGTTTCATATCTATTTTGGGTTATCAATTGGCATCAAAGTGGGAATTGACATTACTGTGTAACTATCAACGTTGTCATACCTCATATCAGCACAACAAGCGACAGTGCACCAGGAATAAAGATAAAGAAAAGAAAGGGAGGAAGAAGTCAGAAGTGGTGGGAAACTGTGAAAAAAGAGCAAGAAGACGTGAAACAGCAATGAAATTCGGTATGACGATTGCGATGAAGATAATGTGTGGTTACATGTGTCCAACTGACGTCTGTCCGGAGACAGTCACTTGATCCTGAACCACTTGGTTTCTGTCTCCATGTGGACCCAAATCAGAGAGTCTTTGTTCTCCAACATGACCGATACCACAAGTCAAAGACTTCATGAGATGATACCATGCTTTAAGTTCGGCTGTTTTAACCTTTCCTCAACATGAACCTACTTCAGCTAACATTACACGAGGAGGAAGACGATTATTAGGCAAGTGTAACACGTCCCAGTCATGAGTAGATGAAGATTCAAAACCTCACGGTGGTATCATAAATGACTTATGTTGGTGAAAGTCAAGTGAGGCTTTAGTCTCTGTGCAGAGGTTTCGTTGGTCTTTGATCCACTAGGATTGATATGATTTTCCAAGCGAGTGAAGTGGTCAAAAAGATCAACTACTTCCCTCCTCATTGGCCAGACATATTCTGAAAATTGTGGCGGATATATATAACCTAGAGTATGGATATTTAGAATGAGAACATCTTGCTGAATAAACACCTTGTTCTTTAACAAAATAAAATGAAATCTTGTGACTTCAGACAAACCACTATAATTTTATGCTACACTGTTTGTCAATTACAGATTAATGGGTTACTCAAGAGAAACTCAGCCGACGTGGGGTCGGGCATCACGTTTTTTAGTGTTTCACAAAAGGAAACGGATAAGTTAACTGACAATAGACTTTGCACTTATAAACCATATACTTCTTGAGGAGTTATTTTGTCCTCTTTTTCAGTTGATACCAATATATTTTATTAAGCTATACCATGCTAAGGTATCTGCAACATCAGTTATATCTTGGTTTCTTTCCCAGTGTTGAGGTTATTAATAATCAGTTATTAAGCTAGGTATTCGTCCCTTTTTCATACCAGGTTATGTCATTTCAATTTTATATGGCAATTTAACCAGCAGCATCGTATCCCTGGTTCGCTTTCGCTCTTGATGAATTCGACACAGGCTTTTTCAGTAGAACTAACAATTTGTATTTAAATTTATTTGATCAAGTTTGCTTCTAACAATGGTCATGTATTATCGATGGTTTGTTGAGACCATAGTGGTGTGCCAATCATCCGTCAATGCCAATCTTCATGTTCAACACTCCTAATCTGACTACTAAGGAAAATGATCCAATAGTGTAATGCACAGCTCTTCAAGATAAGTTCGATGGTTCAAATTTGACTAGTAGAAGGCATATACATTTTTGAGATATTTAGGTACTCAGGTACAGCCACTAAAAAGTAAACTCATCCCCAAATAAGAAAACATCCATGCTCTTTAAAAAAAAAAGTCTCACTGAAAATGCAAGAGAAATAATTTTATCATATTCTTATTGTTTTTTGTTCTTCAGTGCCTTAAGAGCTTTAAGTTTGATGATAAGCACAATTTCTACTGAACATGATAATACTGATTCGTGAAGCATTATCCATCAGTACATAATTGTTTTGCTGTAGCATCTAAAAGTGAGTTTCTCCAGATGATTAATTTATCACACTTCCACCTAGTAACTCCATACCGTTCAGTAATATAAGCATATTCGATCCTAATCTTTGTAAATAAAACAAGGTAGAAGTAGTGAACGAACAAATCGTTTTTGTACACAGAACAAGGGTTGTTTCAATTCGAATATGATTATCGCTTTCGCAAATCTTTTACATGATACTATCTATACATGCCTTACAACCTAATTACAATTCAGTGGGAAGATTCAAAGACAAGAAAACCAGACAACTATAGGATCACCAGTATCACGATTGATTGGTAAAGCAGTGATGCAGCAGTTAGGGCCAATAGTCATCTATATTATCAAACCAAAAATATGGATTCAGTACGTTGACGACACGTTCGTAATTCGCAAGGAGGACGAAATAGTAACCACGATCAAACTAGTTAACCAAACATATGAAACGATTCAGATCACAAAGAAGAAAGCCAGCAATAAAATACCGTTCATAGATGTCCTCATCAGCAGAACGCATAACAGGGCTAAAAAAACCCAAATGTACAGCAGGACACCATACATGGATCAAATTTGGGACGACACCAGCAATCACTCTACACTCCATAAGAAATGTTGTGTGTAAACACCATTCTTAACAGCCAAAACGCATTGAAGCACTGAACCACTACGGAAAGCGGAAGAAAATCACCCACATAGTTTTCAAAGTTAGTGATTATCCAGTCGAATTTATTAAAAAGTGTTTGTCAACAGAAGAGAATACCTCATATCAATAAGCATATTACTCTACCCTACATCAAGAATGTCCTAGAAGCTGTCAACTGATTGCTTTGGACGTTTGAAATTGGAGCGGCACATAAACGAAACAAATCACCACAGAGCATGTTGTGCAAGTCAAAACATTCGTTGCCAAAGGCAAGTAAGACAACTATAAACTGAAAAATCAACTGCAAAGATTGTTAACAACACTATACTGACCAGTGTAGTTGTCGAGCTGCTCAAATAATTCATGAACATCAAGTCGCAGGAAAGTGACATTGTGCAATCTCCTTCGTTCCAATCCACGAGGACCATAATGATCACAAATCCAACTGAAAAAATGTAGAAATCCTCCCAAAAGCAGTTCCGAAAGCAACACAGGAATTTCTAGAAGCCAGATATTCCAACAAAAAGTCAATCAGGAAACATGTGGGTATAGACCCAATCTACTTAAGTAGAAAACAGCCATCCATCAGCCAGGTGCTCAAACAGACCAGTGAAGGACCACAGTCTGACAGTAACAAATGGCACAACTTCAATCGAATAGAGATTTTCTACCAGCGTGAATGAATAAAACGTAAGATCAAACAAGTCAAGGTGTGATAAAAACCTCTTCCCGAACTTACAACTGAAAAACACCGAAGGTCAATAAAACACGATTTAAACATTCATGTAACATTTGAATATGCCTCACTCCTTTATGAAGTTAGTGCTGAGGATGCTACCAAGCCTGGTGATGAAACGTGCATGACAAAATATCAAAGCTCAGAGAACATCAGACTACCATCATCCTCAACCTAAGCTACAAATCCATCCCATTATTTCGCAAATCTCAGTATGGACATATGCAGAGAGATGAAAAGAGAGGAATAACCAAGTAATGCAACTGAGGAGGGGATGCACCTAAATGGTTTCGAAAATAACTGGAATGTAAACACATACGGCAGATAACCCTCTTCTCCTATTAGGAAGTATATACTGTAGGAACAGATGACAATAAATTCTCAAACAGTTTTCAAATTATACATAGTAATGATCAGGAGTACGTACTGAGATTTTCAGAAGCGATAGCTATACATCTTTGTGCATGAGAAAAAAATTTGTCCTTATGCTACACCCACCTTGATAAACATATTTTACTGCTAAAATTGTGATCAAATATGTCGTTCTCCTCTTATTATTTTAATTTAACCCTTTATTATCATTATTATTATTTTATTTATCCTTGCATTATTCAGTTTTATAGTATAACTTGACTTGATAAGTAATATGTTATCAGGCTGCTCAAAATATGCTGTGCAAATATACCACATTATTCAGATAAACCCAGTCTTTTAAGTGGCCTTTCTAAGTACGGCAGTTGTTTTTATCTCCGATATTTAGACAGTAATACAAAGAAATAATTAAAACTTCTTGAATGTATTTTACGTAAATGCTTATTGCATTATATGATATGTTTCTTATCCATTTTAGTCTCATAATGTCGTCGTAATATATGTAAGTTGCGCCAGTTCGGTGTTAAAATAAAGCAATCAACAAAAAACTATAATTATTTACTGAGGAATGGTACATTCAGGAAGCTTACAAATAATCAACAGTAAACAATAATTATTTACCTTGTAGTTGTTGATTAACAGCTTTCATATTTTCTAAAGTGTCGTGTAGAGCATATTTTGTAGACGACTGCATATCATCTCTTCGTTGTTGACTGCTTAATTCAGTGTTGTTTCCATCCGTAGACTGCTGTTGACTATGGCTTGAAGTGAGGGAAAAAAGGGAAGAATTGAGGCAGACATACAATTTAACAAACCTGTTCGCTTGATAAAAAAAGATGGAAAGTTTTACCTTGGCTCACTCATCTGAGAATGCTTCTTTTCTTCGTTAATTAGCTCATGGTAGGGAGAAATAATAGTCAGATGCTTAATAAAACAACCTTTACAGACCGAAATTTATTTCGTTCTTTTTCCGCTTCCTATTTTCCTGTTAAGTCATAGAGAAGTACCTGTGAAAAGAATTCATCCATGTTAACTGCAACATGCTTTTCTTACTTTGAAGTGCTTGCATACCATACACTTACGAAATAATGTCAATTACATAAACTGCATAAAAATGAGCGATATAACTCTTTGGGACGTTGTGATATATATAAGGTTTAAAGACACAGCACCGCATGCGTTTCGAGTTCACTTCTGAATCGTATGAACACTACCTAAAATAAGCTAACGACTTTCTGGTGATTAATTATTATAGTTTTTGGCCTAATAGTCATCGCCGTGATCGACTGCGTATTTTTTTAATTTAACGCCATATTATTACACAGTCTCTTCCTAAATGTAGAACCGATTTACTGTTTCTTTTTAGAACACTTCTTTTTGATGAACCAATATTAACCTATTCGCCTATAACAGAATTATTTGTTTTCTGTTACTAGAAATACGATTGTACAATTAGTGAAAATAATTTTTCAAAAAGAAAGTCTTTTTTGATTTATTTTGTGCTTATTCCGACTCATTTCTCTTGGTTTGCTTTTTCATACTGGATTAAATAGACTACTGAACAGTCAATTTTCATGTACTAAGTTATGAAGAACATTCGTTGTGTAAAGGTAAGCTATTATTGTTAATTTTAACTTAAAAACAGCAAGATTGAGTCTGTAACCAGTGAGTGAAAACCGAAAGTTGACGCTATTGATGTACAGCTCAAAATGTTTCCTAGATCGATTTCGTTGAACCATCATGGTTCATAAAATGTAAGTTCACGTACGTATTAATCTTAGTTTTACATATCCGAAAACTACAACTACATTATGATCACTTTAAGCTGATTTGTAGTTTGTGACAAAACGGAGTATATGGATTTATCTTCCATGATAGGTTTGCCTGTCAAGGAAATTCTTCTCGACTTAGGGGTACTGTCGATTCTTTACAAATATTGTATCACATCCATAAAAATAAAAAAGGCACATACACACAAGCTTAAAATGTAGTGCGGATAGAATTATTGCCATTGGTTTTTTGAGTTTACGATCCCCTCATTCATGGATATTCTTTTTTACCCATTTCCTCACGTTCCAATTATTTTGTCTCCCTTTGTTATACATGAAATGCTTTTATACTTCTAAAAATATCACTGTGATATAAACTCTTACAGTTACCATGATAATCTATGCAGAAGTCAATTCTGTAGGTAGAAAAATAACATTAACATCCCATTTTAGTTTGTATTGTACTATGAATCATTCATGGAAGAAGTTACTAGGTGTTCCTTCCCACAAATCATATTGGATAAGGTTTTGCAATTACTTATTGATAAAAACACCTTTTAAACGACTGGACATTTACGCATCTTTTATTACTAATGGAGGAGATTACTAATTAGGCTTAGTTTACGTTACAGTGGATTACATTAAGCATTTAACTTTCGATCAATGAGTTCGGAGTTTAATTCCCGTTTCATTTACTTCGCTTTAAGCGAGATGGCACTATTAGAAGCCCTCACACAATTAGTGTGGCAAATACTAAAGAAAATAAATGTGCACCAGGATGAGTCTCATTTGTTCATATATACTCAGATACTATTTCAATTTTATTGTTTAGATGCATAACCTTTCAGTTACTCAGAAGACAACAATCTGTAACACTTCACTTAATGGGCTGTAGAGTCAGGGAATAATTATCTGCTCCTCCCAAAGGCGTCAACCAATCAGATATAATTTCAAAAGGTTTTCATTATAACAGCAGAAAAAGCAGGATACTATTGACATAAGTGAAAATTTGTAGTTAAGAAGGGTTGAATTTAGTGCTACTGCGTTCCCGTAGCTAGAAAATTTGATCGTGAAATGTCTTATTGTCTAAGACGATAAACTCTACCTTGAAGTCCAATAAGTGTGAAATCAATAACCCTGTTGAATAACTTCTTGGAATTTTCTCAGCTTGTCACAAGGCAGTCTTAAAACGATTATCATCGTAACAACTTGTAATCCCACCAAATTATCTATCTTCTTCAAACAAGGTTGAATCGATGTTACAGCAGATACATGCAGCTGTAGAGTCCCAATCATGATGAAAGCAGGTCCTGAATTACACAGCTAGCTACTACCCATCATTACTACCAAGTTTAAATTGGTAGATGGGAATGATACAATAACCAAACAGTGTTGATTAGCACAAACGCTGTAATAAGAATCATATCACTGAGTAGTACATGACTTACAATTTCTAAGCTTCTCTTCTCAATGCAATCAAGTGGACCACATATTTTAGTTATTGTGGTTTTCTAGGCGTTTAACCATTTTCCAGGTTAACCACACGTCACTGAGCATCAGGATAGCTTCTAATAAGACGCAAAGGCATGGAAATAATGTACACAACAGGCTATGAACTCCTACTAAGGTAGAAGGTCCAAGCCACGGATATCTACCCTTACCTGCTTAGCAAGGAAGGCATAACACTCATCGCTGTAATAATATCAACCCTTCTCCCCACTGCGGTTAGACAGCAGTATCCAGGCATTTCAGTCCTTAATGCCTACGTGGTTAGATAACTGACTACCTTAAACAGACAGTCGGCGACTACTTCCCAAGACTCAATCCCGAGCTTCATTGATCTGAGTGTTCGTTAGCGGCAGTTGGACCACCTGTTTTGGTTACTGTGAGAAACCATCAAAAAGTATTGCAGTCAAATTTCATGCGGCTGTTATTACTCACATAGAACGGACAATGTCTTAAACACGTCACATGACTTTATTGATTTGTTCGCTTAAGCAGCTGGTCAGAGTTAGGGTGAAAATGGAGTGAAAAATGGACGCTGTGGCAGAGTACAATTTCATTTAAGATTAGTTTATTTGATACAGCACAATTTAAAACAGGGATATTAACTGAATGATGATCAGAAGTTGTGTGATTACTTTTATGTGATTATGAGCAATAAACTGTGCTCTAAATGTCATCCAATCAATATTACAGCATCACTGTGTGCTATCTTAAATAAACCAGTGGAATACAGAATTGTTCATTTTCTTTTTTAGTGTCCAAGTTGCATATACAGTAGGTTAGTAGAAATACAGTCACTAGGTATCCCTTTAGTACGGGGCATAACATCAAAGTTACGGATGCTTTCCAAATAATAAACCAAGATTGAACATCAAATGCGCTTCATTTTACAAAGTCCATTAAAAACAAGCACTCTCCACCTGATGTATGCATACCGAAGCGAAACATGGTTAACTTTTCAATGTCCCAATACATGCTATCTTTATTTGTTTGTACGTCACTGTTAATTAATTCATTAATTTTAATATACCCAGTTATTTTATGAATATTTGGCTTTATGTAATCGAATGACACTAATTTGTTGTTACGTGGAGTTTGTTTTCAATTCCAACAGTTAAATTAGGAAACCGAATGATAAAATGAATGCATATGAATCCATAAACAACTTTCTTTATTTTTATTCCAAATAACTACTGAAATTGAGTACACAGTAACAACTTCTAAAAATCCCTAGATAATTTTCAGTCTGAAACAAAGTTTCTGAATTACAACATGTTTTCATTTCAGTTTGTTTGATATAACATTTCCAATCAAAATCAATGAAATGATGTTTAGACCAATGGGTTACAGGTTAAAATTCTCATTAACAAATTGAAATTAGCTAGTCAAGCAGCGTCGCCAGTTTTCACGAAATGGGAATGTCTATATAAATTCAAATGGTTACACAACTTAGGTGCGATTACCTGAGATGGCTGTAGTTTGGAAGATTGGTATTTATGATGCGCAGTGATGATTGAAGGTCAAATGAAAACCTCAGTTGCATTAAGATGCGAAATGGTGGTTATGATTTAACCTTTTATTTAACATTGAATCATCACCCCACATCATACTCAGCTATGGTTAATTTATTTATCAATTACGTTTCATGATATTTAACCTATCATGAACGTCTCATTCAACTTAAACTATTCAGACTATACCAGTTGCTTATACTGCAGTAATATAGTCACAAACTACCGTCAGTGCGCTATAGCGACACACTTCGTAGGTCTCATCACTTTTCGTCGGTTAGATAGCTTGAAGAATACTTACCCTTCATTTATTATGGCTAAGATTAGTATAACACCTGACGCAAGTAACACATAACTACAGGAATTATTGATTGGATGTTGGTCACATTTCTTGTGACTCAAAGAATCAATATATGCACTTCAGTGCCTTTGATGTAAAACGTCTCAAACCTACCATCAAATTCTTGTTATTCATATACAAACTTCATAGTGATTATTCCGTTGATTTTTCAAATGAATTTTCGAAATCCATTCCGAACCAGATTTGAAAGTAGATATACTATTGATTAGTCAGTTGAATACAGCGCACAAAGAGGTAATATGAGAAGACAGATAAGTACAGAAATGAGAAGCACGACTGAAATATGATGTCTAATTTTAAGGGCAAATTTCGAAGACTAGGTGTGAAGAATAAAAGTGTTTTAAACCCTCATTACTACAGGAATGAGAATTTTTCCGACGAAAAACAAATCTTGATATTCAATACGCAGATGAATAATGAAATACCAACGCTTACTGTAGTACTTTGCACCGGTTGTTGTAAGTCTACTCATGACACAACTACTTTGCCTAGTATTTTTTATACAAGTAAACACGTACCGAAGATGCTTTATATCTTCTTCAACTATTTCGCTAAGTAGAGGACCACAGCTGCTTGGAATGATCAGGGTTCAACAGTTCGAATAAGATGACCATAATAAATACAGGTGTTATTTCGTCAACACTGGCAGTAAAAACAGATAAATTTCTGACAACTAGTGCTCACAATAATAGATTTCTATAGCCACTTAGTGACACTAAGAGTTATTGAGGGTATTACTACTTGTATGGCTATGTTTAGTCAAAAACACTTATTCTGGCACTCTTGCTTGGTTAAACCACTAATCTACCCATTTGTACTGCCACACATTCACTGATTGTCATCAAAGCTAACTGTACTACGTCTAGAGTGAAATTGAAGATAACAAAATAGCAGAATCCGGTAATTCGGCAATTTGACTCCCTTAGATAAATCACTCCATGCTCAACCGTGAACAGGAGAAATGAATATCTAGTTCTTAAGTTACATTCCTCTGGGTAGTAAATATTGATAAATGGTATGTGTGAGACCTATTCATATTGTTTACGAGTAAACATCGTAGAGTCTTCTTTGAGTAATAATGAACTTCCTTGCCCAATTTTTATCTTTTATTTAAAAAAATAATTGGGTCAAAGTTCCAAAGGTAAACATTGTTATTAGTCTTGATAAATGCAAAAAAAATTAAAAGCAATAACTGAACTGTAGTTGTAGTTCATTGGTTTTTTAAGTCAATCGTAGTCATATTGCTGAAACATAGAAGTATAACGTTTACCGATAACGAAACTGATCCATGTAAGCAAAAATCAATCTTTAAAAGAAACGGTTGGTGATATTCAAGTATTAAGTGTAGCGAGTGAATTGATAAGTTTTCGTTCACATAACATGCACGGTGCAGTTGCCAGATGTACTGTGAAAAATTAACGATAGTCGAAGGTTACTTAGATCACCCTTTAAGGTTCATAACCTCAATTTGATACTTCAACGCCATGTATGTAATATTTTTTGGTCTTAACTGTACGGTTTCTGAAAAAATCCTGTTGACATTATAGTAAGGTGATATCAATTACTCAGTAATACAAAGCTTTCAATAAGAGCAAGACGGTTTCAAGATTACCGACAGATATTTTTAATCAATCTTAGGTACTAACACTCAGTAGTAAATATTTGGAGTGTTTACAAAGATGAGAAATGTTATTCTTTACCCAGTTTTTTATGTTTTCGATTTGTCTAGGCAAAAACAATGAACAGCTGATTTTGTAAAACTGTTTCACTATACATGAAAGGAATTGTTTTTGTCGGAAAATCAATAAAGAAAATGCCACTGATAATTATTTGTACTGATAATGTTAGTTATATTACTGAGAACATGGGAATGTAATAAAAGAACTCAAAACCATCTAACAAATTACCTTAATCGATGAGCTAATTTGTCAGAGAATTGACGAAGTTTTATAGACAGATATCGTATTGTATCAACCATCATAGAGTAGTATACCTGAAAAACAAGAATTCAGTACTCAAGTAAACAAAATATGATAGACGATTGTTAAAGACTAGGAAAATAACCATGAGCAGGGATATCATATAGAGAATAGATTTATATTTTTCCTGAAAACTACGAAAACATCAAAACTCTGCATCGAATAAGCTATAGAATGAATTTTCTTTACTTCTCAATTAACTTCCGACTTTCACGTGTGAATAGTGATAACAGTTTTATGAACGCTGAGTTTAGAAGTGGATAATCTTATTATAGTAGTGCTAATTACGACATAATGAAAACTCTGACAGTTACATTGGAGAAGGCAAAACAATTCTCAACAAATTGATTAGCCTTAACTTATGTAATATTTTGAAGTCAACTATACTAGGTATTAATCAGTTGAAGAGAGTGCGTGAGCTATTGTGGTAGCATTCTCAAGAAAAGGAGAATCAATAGGTGAACGCAACTAGCTAAATGTACGAAAATCCACCAATTTAGCACAAATGCGTCTACATATCCAGAAAGCTGTTTACTAGTGGCTTGTTTCATTCTCTTATCCTTTTATACACTATTGAAAAGTGTGTCAATCTCACTTCATTCTTCTTTGTGCTAACCACAGCAGAGGAAAGATGGGAAAAAGAGCCTCACCAACCTATCGAGTATTTAACACATGTTTTCTGAGATCCGCCGGAAAACCAAAGTTAGTGTTTACATCGTTTATGCCGTATGCAATAACATTGATGGCAACCACATAGATGCATCTGCGCTATATGCTACTCCAAATCTGGGATTTTGTACTTTTGATCACTTATTATCTAATATTTTTCATTATCTTTTTACCATCACGGATATTACTTCTTATGTCTTGATCTTCTCTCTTGCAAACTTTCCTGAATGTGTTGGCAATTTGAATTGGTAAACAATCATTTCAAGTCCTACATATTTTCCATATGCTTATTTGAGTGTTTCCAACTTACGGATACAAGTAGATACACAAAATGAATGTTTCTAAGCCTTCACACAGCTAGAATACTCTCAGACCATGTTAAATTAGGCAAAAAGTTGCTAACGATATCAGATAGCTTGAAAAAATTTCATTAAATGATTTAACGGCATTTTGACATCAAATGAAACAGCATTTATACTGGGTGATGATTGAAAGTGAAATGAAAATCTAGGCCACGGTAGAATTGAAGCCAGTGAACACCAGGTTTCCGACCCGGTGCACTACCAACTGACCTACGAAACCCAACTACCGACATTTTTATTTCACTTCAGTCATCAAAGTTTTTGTTCGACTGTCATCCGAATTCGTGACGCGTTACTACCGATTGATCGTACTCACACTGGCTGCCCAGTCAGGACTTCTCATCTCGATCCCAATCTAACTTAAGTAAAGAGGGTGAGCGTCATATTGATTATCAGTTTGACCATCTGAGATAGCCTAAATTTTCAAATACTCCTATTTACCAAGAGTGTTTGATGATTTTGGTTGTATTGTGTTCTCTGAGCTGAGTTGTTTAATCATGGAGCTTTCGTCGTCGTTCTAGACGACATCATCAGCACTAACTTGAGTATGAAGTGAGCTGTCAATATCTCTCGGTGAGTGATTTAGTAGCTTGCCCTGACGAAGTGGTATGTGATTAGTTGTTTCTTTTGATTGTCGCTTCATTGACTGTATAGATACTCCTGTTGGCTGTTCCTCTGACCTTTCTATGTTTGATGATTAAAAGTAATTGAAATTCTTTTTTCTTTCGCATGAACATAAACAGGGAATAGTGAAAGTTTCATTCACAGAAAAATTCATCTTTTAGTCGCTAAGCTTGTTCTGACACATTTAACTGCAACAAGATAAAACAACTCATGTATCAACTCCAGCAGGCAGGAAAACTAGAAGCATTTCATATGCATATATATATATATATATATATATATATATATATATATATATATATGTATATGTATATATATATATATATAACTGCTAACTTCATTCAGAAAAGCTAACTACTTCAATATTAAGATAAATACATGACATATGCATACACAATGCGCGACGCTCAATTAGTGCTGGCGATACCTGAATTATGAACACCAAACCAGCATGGAAAACTGTCATTCAGACTATTCACTGCTGGTCAGTAGAGAAAAACACGCATCACAGTATATTTTCTTCGGTCAGTAATACAATTAAATAAAGATGTAACTCATACTGATATCGAACGGAGGCAGAAGGTAGTGTATTCTTTGGCTGATTTATATATATATCGTGAAATACAAAAACACGAACCTCTACCGTTACTCAGTGAGATCAATGTGAGTTAGTCTGTAACAAGTGTGATGACTCAAAAGACAAAACTGTTAAATAATTTGTCTTATTTTTGAGTGGACTGAAAATGTTACTCTGGAAACTAGTAAAATAACCACTTACGTTCCTTCATTTTAAGAAAAAACTACCTTCGCAGCCAAAATAAAGAAACGTAATTGTTTATTTTAGAGGTCGCTAGGATGACCTTTAGAGACGATCTTAGGTAGCAAAACATCAAGAAATGTAATTTTCGTTTAACTATATCAATGACATAATGGGACAATTTTTATTGCTGTTATTTAGAAGAACCAATAAATCAGTAAAGATATATTATTCTGAAAACTAATGAGGTACCTAATCACAGATTTATATTTCATGAAAGAATTAACTTTTCAGTCGAAATAGAGAAACCTAATTGGTTATTTCAGTTGTTGCTAGGGTGGTCTCGTAAAGAGACTGAATATCACTACTCTGAGAGATGAGCTAGGAAACCTCGTATTCCAGTTATGAAATAAAAAAGACGACTACACATTTACAACCTATTGTCAGTATGTATCAGAACAACGATCTAAAAAAAAATGAAAAACTTGCTGTAGGCAGATAATTGTACCAGTTCTGGGTTCCTATCAAACTGAAACTCAACCACCAAGCAACAAATATCCCGGTTAATGAATAATGAAATGACAAAGCAATAGAAAAAACGAAATAGCGTCTGATAATATCCAGATACTTTTTGATTTTAAAAATAGTTCCTTCTGACAATTGTTCATATTTAAGAAACCAAAAAATATTGATTTCTACAATTCGTAAAAATAACCAATTACGATAAAGTTTATTAAAATTCTTAATAGTCCTGGTTAATAATTTTACAGTAATCTCAATGTAGTACAGATTTACTTAGCTTTCTATATGGTGGAATGGTCTATATCCTTTAACGTTATAACTACATAAATTCTACCTGGTACCTTAAATTTGTTGACGTGAATATGGATATTAATTTATAAAGGCCTCACCAGATTCCATTGTAAGCAGGTTACTCGGATTATGAAACGAAAATCCCAAGGTTTCAATATCGTACAGAAATGTAATAGTTGAGTATATTACCACATATAAAGAGACTGTTGATGAATCAGTGTGGTTAGTAAATACAATAGTATACAGAACTCAATGCAAGAATCAACAATGGTTACCCACATATGTAAAGCTATGGCAAATGTGGATATTCGCTTATAACAATCACAGTTTTATAAGTAATTATCAGTGTCACTAACTTATAAACCGGTGACCCATTCCGTTAACCGAAACACCTGTCACTTCGTAATTTTATAAGTTTCGAAAACAAGAACAACAAATATTGTGAGATGAATTGCATTCATTTCGTGTACCATAAATCATCCAAATACCCACTGAATTCCAATTTCCTTAAGTAAGCTATCAATAATCACCATAAGTAAATTAAGGAATTTCAGTAGAAAACAACACTAAATACATATTTAAAACTTAAGAATCTATATATAAACACGGAAACAAAGGTGAATCATAAAGTCCGCAATGTAAGTAAACAATACAGGTAACAAGTCAGATTTTAAAATCGATCAGTAAACACAAAGCAAAATACAACGTGATAGTAGTACAGGAATATGGTTACTGCTCAATGTGGTAGGGATTCAAATGGAAGGGGGAGAACAACAAAGATAGTATGCAAAGTATATGAATTAATGGTGGACGAATGGAAAAGAATATGTCAACAACCAGGATAAAAATATAATGGGTTAAAGTAAGTCAAAAATGAAGGGAATGTGAATATGTAGAACAATAAGATGGAAAAAGAAAAAAGTAAATAAAGCTGTAGGAAAAGAACAACTCACCAAGGCAATGCAAGAAACATTTCATCCGGAAAACAGTAATAAAGACATGACATACAGAGTGAAAGGACAGGAAGAACATGAACAGAGGAACTAATTTACATGTGAGACCTCCTCATGTTATTTCCAACTGTATTTATTTATTCACCTGTACTTCCAGTAGCATGTATGTTGGAAGAACGGAGAGGGTCCTTACTAAACGAATCTCTGAACAGGTACCGAAAAGCCTGTCATTGAGAGGTATAAGGCTACCAACCAGCACCATTGGCAAGCACATACTCAATACAGGTCATGCCGTCGACTCAAACATAACTTTTAAGGTAATCAATACACATAGAAATAGTAAATTGTTACGTTATGCAGAAGCAGCAGCAATCCGTCGACTGAAACCAGATTTATGTGTACAAAAAGAGGCTGCGATTCACCTTGCATTGCCTTAGTGAGTTGTTCTTTTCCTACAGCTTTATTTACTTTTTTCTTTTTCCATCTTATTGTTCTACATATTCACATTCCCTTCATTTTTGACTTACTTTAACCCATTATATTTTTATCCTGGTTGTTGACATATTCTTTTCCATTCGTCCACCATTAATTCATATACTTTGCATACTATCTTTGTTGTTCTCCCCCTTCCATTTGAATCCCTACCACATTGAGCAGTAACCATATTCCTGTACTACTATCACGTTGTATTTTGCTTTGTGTTTACTGATCGATTTTAAAATCTGACTTGTTACCTGTATGAAGCTGCATAAGGGTGTTACGTAGGAAGGAGAAGGAAGGCAAAAAATGGATCTTGCGGATACATGGAAGCTGACAGAGCACGGAGAGGAAGATGGTGAAGCAGAAGATGAACCAGTGAAGTGCAGGGATGAACACGGAGGAGAGGAACTGAACGGAACCTATAAAACACTGCACGAATAAGTGAAGAAGAGTGCGCCCAAAGATAAAAGACACTTCTAAGCCACACTCTCAAGTGAAACAGAACAGGTTGCTAGCAAGATAGACCTGATAACTCTATATCAAATTACTATCTGGTAAGAGATCAACACAGATGAAACCTCTTGCGATTTGCTGTTATTCCATGTTTCAGATTAGCTCTAGCTTCTTCTACTTTGAAAAGAGTTTGGGGTTGTATGTCAATTTCCTTTCCGAGTCACATCTGAATGATGAACAACTGAAGAGTAGTTCGTAATCGACTGAACTAAATATTAATGTGTTCGCTTTATCATTTCAGTCACCCGTTTTAGGAATGAATCACTGAACCATGTTTTCCGGTTTCAGTTTTATTGACAGTCAACGTTTTCATACCAGTATATCCATTGAATTTAAACAACTTAAAGCTAGTTCCCTCTCTATTTGTTTGATTTATACTGACTAGCGCTGATCATGGTCAAAGCATAAACTCTATGTCAGTCTACGCTAAACTAGATTTTACTCTCCAATGTGTTTAGGATCAGTCAGTATTTATTCTTTCCCTCCCCCTGAGCATACTAGTTTGAATACATTTCCTGAGGTCCATACTGGTATTTCCTTAACTTCGTACAAAGGGTATATTACAGTCTCCACCTTTGGTTTTGCCATAGACTATGAAATGATGAAAAGCTTTCTTCGGATTAGAAATAATGACATGCGCAGCATTCGTTTAGCCACCCCCTCCATTAATATAGCCTCAATATTCAATTATTCAAGCTGAATTTGAAAACGTTGCAGAATTGCACCCTTTTATCCTAACTTAAGCACAGATGCGCGCTCCCTCAAACCAGTACATGATTACCGTCCACGTACGTGCAACAGAAAGAGTAGTAATTCTCGACCTTTTCCAGCAGTAACTGATAACGACATGATCTACATGTCTTCACCATTAATTTTAGGTCAACTGCCACCATAACAGACGATGTCACTTTTCATATCTGAAATTCCTGTTGGCTAGGATGATATTGTAGCAAGTGATCACGATTATCCATTATGGGAAAGTACCACTCAGTTGTCTTTCCACGTAGTTTAACTTCTTCACTTGCACCCTGAGCTCACTAGCTACAATGACGACATTGGAACTTCTGATCTTTGGTAGAAGGCTAGATAATTTCAGGTAGAACTAACGCTTCATAGCATTATAGTTTTAGCCGGTGTATTCCGAAGCATACGCTATGAAGAGATATTGGTTTATATCATAATAATTCTAAATTCTATGCTGTTAGGCTGACCAGTAAGTAGGCAACCACCAATTAAAATTCAACTCAAAACTCAGTTTCCTATCCTATGAATTGATTTCATGCCAACAATTGCAAAACTGTGGGATACCCCAGATACCTGAAAGTTAAATTGTACAGATGGTCAGGTAAGATCAGAAAAATTTAACCAAGCACGAGTCTTGCGCACTTGTTTCATAAATACTGCCTAAGTGTATCGTCCAACAAACCAAGACTTCCGTTAATCAGAATCAGCACTCTATTTTTCATAAAGTGCAAATAATGAATACCACAACGCATAGTTTAGAGCAATGCTTCAAAAGGCTAAAAAATAGTATTTTGTGAACTAAAAATGTCAGTCAGAGTCAAACAATTTACTGCTCAAATAACATTGATTACTATTTAAATCATTGTAAAAGGTTGAAATTAATGATAACCTGATTTGATGTTCACAGTATGGCGATCACAAGTTTGAGTTCTACACACATGGTAACATGGTAAAAATCAATCTACTCGCCAAAAAAAATTACAAATGGTAGTTTTTAGTTTATACAAACTTAGGAGTTTCATCGCTTCTATCTTATTCAGTGTAAATAAAAAATATAGTAGATTGTGGCTGTGGAGAAATAAAAATGCAAACAAAGTGAACTGTCTTCGTTATGATACCATATACATCCTGTGAGGTACTTGCCTGAATAAACATGATCAAAACAGAAATCTAAGTATTTTAGTGAAATGCAAAGACTTGAAAAAAATTTCATGGTCACGACAAAAGTCTTGTACTTAATTCACAAAGTGACTTTTGAAAGGGCGAAAGTTGTAGAAGTGCCTCCGTTTACGCAAGATGAGTCACCATTGGAGCTTTACATAATCTACCATACTCTTCTACAGTGAATTAAAAAGATAGACTAGACGTTCCTCAATTATGACAGACAATAATGACTCAGAGAGATAAAAGTAAACATCAGCACAGGGATAAAGTCACCTAAAAAGAAATATATTCAGAGAAATACTTTGTCAGATTGTTTCTAATCCCCTTCTCTGCTTACAGTACAACGTCTACGCATATCTTACTACCATGTACTTCATCTATATTAGTGACTGCCTATTCCTTACCGTAGATGCTACTGTCAACAAAATAATCTCACGCTTTGTTAGATATATCACACAGTGAGGCAGTGTTATTTAATGGATAGCAACTCAAGAATATTTTCATTTTCACTTTATTACTTGTACAAACCTGAGGTTGTTTATGACCTGGAAGCTAAATTGCCCACAAGGTTGTACCACTTTTCATAAATTCAACATTGAGCCTCTTTGTTGGATGAAGGTATAGAATCAGTCGTAACAGACTTGAATATATTAATATTGTAGTAGAAATTAAGCAACAAGATACAGAACAGTTCTTTTTTAGTTCGTTTTTCGGATATATACCATACACTGAAACAGTATTACCCGCTGAGTAGTGTTTTGAATATCTTGATAAGATAATGGACAATACATTTCGTCCCGAATGTTTGTCAGTAATTGAAACTAAATCATTGTTTCATACAGACAGATGAACTAGCTTTCTATATATTAATTTACAAATTTAATATCAGATTCATCCTTATAAAAAGGATCTTGTAAGGTCCAAATGTTGAGGATAGTACAAAATAGGGGATTGTCGTTTACAGTTTGGTGTACTGTATCGAGATTAAATAAGTAAAACAAATTTGAATAAAATTATTTGTACGCTTGTGATAAACTTCGATGTACTGGTTAAACAAAATATGTAGTCTATATGTTTAGTTTCTACTAGAATGGAACTGAGTACATTCATATTTATTGATAGTGATGCATCCTTGGGGTAACAGAATCGGAACCCGATAGTTGGAGTTCTTCAGTCCTGAAGAAATTATTATATGAAGATGTTGCCCTACGCTATGATTCGTGAATATTTATTCACCCTCACATAGGTTATAATAGATTTCTTATGGGAAGCTGAAGCAGTTATCTAAATCCCTTAAGCTTTCAGTAGTCTATCAGCTAAGTAACCTTCGAGGTGAAAATCATTTTCGAAAGAATCCAGTCCCAAAAATCATCAAATCGAAAAGAGTCAGAGTAACGCTTACTGCGGATTCATTTGGATCAGAGCTATTTGGATCGAAATTCGGACTTAATGGGAATGGTTGAGGTGAAGGAATGAAAGGTGGAACTCTTTCATCAACTCCAGTTTTTATTACAGGAAGGTAAACTTTCATTGATTCATCAGGATTTAAAACAGTTTGCGTTTGGTGAACTGATTGATTTCTGTAATTCGAAGCAGCTATCATTGCTTCCAATGAACGATGAGGTAAGGGTGTAGTAAAAGCAGACCTCTCTAACTCAGCGACCCCAGGCCCTGTAGTGCTATCTGGTAATGTTGGAATTGTTTGTGAGTTATTTAATAACGGCAGGGTAATGGTTCTGGAAGCCATGTGCGATCCACTTTCTTCACATTCTTCCCTAGTTTCTGCTTCAAAGCTTCCATCTGACTGAAAAAGCTTTAAAAGAGAGTAAATGATAATAATTCAATATATGATTTAACCTATCATAATGGATATTGGATTAAAAATAACTTCGGTGAATAGCAAGCAACTTATGTGATCAAGCCATCCAGCTACTCATCATTTATAATATTCTAAAAGAGTAAATTAAACATGTGATGAAGAAAAAGATAAATGCCTCCGGTTCTCCAATATACTCTTGGGTCGCAGAGAAGGTGGTTCAATAAAACAGTCGATGTGCAGTAAACGTAATTGGACAGGGAAGTCAGTATTTAAGTTTCTATAGCTTTTGTCTAACTCAATATATGCGAAGTTTGATAAAATGCCTATTACACAGGATCCACCGTATTTTTACAGAAGACTCAATGGATGGTGATACCAAGATACCAACCTAAACATTGAAAGAAAATGGATATCCATTGAAGTTAATAAATCGTTGTACGAAACCTATTCTGTGCCAGAGAAAACCGTTTATATTACGCTACCATATAAAAGGGGATCTTGTTGCACAATTTTAAAACAAAGGCTAAGGTTTACCATCAACAGAACATTTTATGAACCCAAGTTTATCGCAATAGGTAAGGTTATCAAACACATGTTGCAACGCAGATTTCATTTCCGTATAGAGAACGGAGTCACAGCCTACAGCATTTACCAGTTTATAGGTGTGTGTGTGTGTGTGTGAAGACACACATACATAGTAGGGAATGGATTTACAAAAAGTGATAAGCGCAAGAGGTAAGCAACCATCCTCATCGTCGCAAAACATTTTACTGATAAAGGTCACAGGACTCATATTGAAGCAGTTTTATGTAAAAACTGGCGGGGGAGTGTACTTACTTCGTTTGAAGCGCCACTTATGCATAAATTTAACCCCCTTTTTGTGTTTTCAAAAACGGTTCGCCCTTACGCTAAACCTACCCTGATAATATTCATCTTATCATGTCATCAAGGAGTCGGTCTCAAGATTTATTATTCTCCCTGTACTACTTTTCTTGCTATTTCATTTTTTATTGTCGTTCTATTTTCCGTGTAGAATGCTTTGGTAAGTAAATTTGTGACTGTATTCTTCAAAATGTATTGAACAAACATATCAAATTTATCAGATAAACTGAGTCTTCTACTTGGGTTATTTAAATTGAACTACTTTAAAAACTCATTTTCTCACCAATTATGTGCAGCTAGAGCAATGATAATAAATGGCCAAAACCCTACACTCAGCAACCACTAAATATCTTGAAAACTCTTTTCTCTATGTTGGCCCTGGTCATGATTTTCAAATTTAATTTCACCTTGTCATTTGATACTTTTTGACAACACGACTCACGTTTTGCTTCTTGAGATCAATCGTCTTTTTTCAATAACCCTTCAACCCTTCCTTATTGATTGAGTACAATCGAAAGGCCTGATGACTAGGTCCTTGAAACAAAATACTTTCCTGTAAAAGAACCCTGATCTCCTTATTTATTAGTTGAAAACAAATTAAGTGTGATAAAAACGAGTTTTACACTTTTTCTTATAATATTGACAACTTGTAAAGCCTAAATGTTATCAACTACAGCAAAACAATTGCCTAATGGCAGCTTCAAGGTTTTTAATGTTTCTGACTTCTGTTTATCCCTGGTAAGTAACACTGATATCAAATAACCTCCTTAAAATCACCAGTACTTCGATATGATGCAGTTTATATTGACCTTTGAACAGAAGTTACTCTGGAATGTTCTATCCTTTTTACGATATATTCACGAATATACAGGTAAGAGAATGATTTCGTCGAAAAGAAAAAAATTTCTTCACGAGACAACAGAGATCGGTGGTTGGAGACCAGGTGATTTAGACTAGAATCGACGTCAATTGGATAGATGTATCTATATATTATCTTTATGTTGATTATCATACCGAATTTCACCATCGTTTCATTTCTTTGTGCTCTACTTTCACAGCTTCCCACCACTTCGACTACTTTCTCTCTCCTTTGAAAATTCCTACGTTTGCCTGCTGAGTTGATATGAGATGTGACAACTTGGATTATTAAACATTAACGTTAGGTCCCATTTTGATATTGAGTGACTGCGTATACTGCATCATGAGTTTGTTTAAAATATACAAATAGCAGATTACAACGATATAAAAAGCTGTGCTCGTTTTTGATATGCTAACTAACCGGTTCTCTAGCCAGACTATTAAGACCGCGAGCAAGCTCAGACATTTGGGATACCCAGGCTTGATATGATTCAGCATCAAAGGAAGGCCAACATTTTTGTTGATCTGAAAATTAAGAAATGAAAATTAACTAGATGAATTTTTGACATAAATCTTAGGAATCACTAATTTATTGATTAGAGGTTTAATTCGAAAATGAATAGTAAAATCATAATACGCTTTGCTGCCTACAAATCTATTTAAAAATCTTTTGATTAGAAGCACAATAGTTTGTATTTAGTGAACTAATTGGGTGGTGTAGAGAAGTTGGCGATTTTAAATTCATTTTAAAGTAGTTCAAAGATATACGATGAATAGACTTTTCAATAATAAATTTCAACGATAGCACGAAGATCGGCACTAAATGTGTAATCGTAGTGAAAAATTTCTCATTAAGACTAAAAAACGACCAATTGTGCGTTACAATCAAGTCATTTTATACAGATGAAAAAAGTAGTTTTAAAAACAAATGTTTCCAAAAATATTTTCCTAAATAAATTCAACATATTTCAAAAATTAATTCTTCTTTGCTCATTCAAAGACAAGGGAGATGACAATCTCACTTTTAAATCTTTTAACATTGCGAAATGTGGATAAGATGATGAAACTGAATAGATGCATGGAGATACATCTGAAATATTGGTAAATAAAGTTGTTGAGTTCTGTATCTTCCCCTGTAAGAAATAAGTCTAAAAAAGTAACCAGTTCACCGTGCAATTTATTTGTTTTTTTTAACTGTACAATAAAAAGGACCAATACTGTTTGCAAATGACTTTTTAGGGGTGGAAATCAGATCAGATCGGTGATAGAGCACATATAAGAGACAAATACCTAAACTAGCGTGATAATAGTTCTTACAGAAACTATTTATCTTGAAATTAAGATGTTACATGGTACCAATCAAAACTATGGATAATACTGATCCAAATTGACTAATGTGTTTACTTCATTATTCTTTGAATCTCTGGTTGGTTTATCTCCCTCAATGACCTTGTGAGTTGAAAATTTATCTAGTTTTACCTCCTATGTAAGCTCTTATTCATGTAATTATACTGGTTGTAGACTTAGGTAAGTTTTTTGCCGTTTCTCAGTATCATTCATCCGGGGGTTAAGCAAATGAAACAGTGAGGCGACAACTAGAACTGTTTATAGAATCCAGTGTCAACCAATTACTGACTAATAATAATATTGGAATCGACAAAATATGTGTGACTGTTGTTTTTCATCAGCATGTACTCGATAAAACGAAGTTAATTATAGGCGTTGATTCCTTTGTTGAAATTGCATTGTTTAGTTTGAGTACAACAGCTGTTATTCAAAATTGACTGATTAACCTATAAAGGAATGAGTATTACAACTTAAAGGACACCTGGATCACAAACCAGTGGGTCACGGGGTTCGAATCCTGCTCCATCTACTGAGGTTTGGGCAGGTAGTTAGTATCACTAGCCCTCATACAATGGGTGTGGCTTATAGCCTACTGCAAGCAGGTGCACAAGGTGGCTGACTGTGTTAAGTAAGTTAAGAACAAGAGCAAAAACGAGTCTATAGTAGTAAATAATAGTAACAATATCTATAGCAATATTGACGGTGAATTAAGAAGCATGAATTCAATTTGTTTGGTAATTCAAACATGTGGATACATAATGCCATCGAAATTATTAACACAAGGCAGAATAAAGGCAATAATCCATACAAATCATTTAATTTACAATGAATATCGAAGAGATAAGAGGGTAAGTACCACTATTCAGATAAGAAAATACTTTTCCCGAACATTTGAAAATCAAAATCAGTTAGGTGGTTAGAAATATTAAAAGAAGGATAGATGCTCAACAGTGGCATTGGATGAAGGCCGTGCTATATCACGAATCAACAAAAGTAGGGAAAAGGTGAACCATAGGATTCCTACTCAGTGGCTCAACGGTAACGTGATAGCTGTGGAACCTGAAGGTCTTGGATACGTACTACTGACTAGTTCCACGCTAGAACGAAACAAACGGTCAACGTTCCCACGATTCCAATTGTTCTCCAACACCAACTTGAAACCGGTAAATTTATGCGAACCTCCAAATTGTGATCTGAAAAGGCTTACACCGATTTCCCTTACCTTTTTTCGGAGTACAAATGCATCTTAATTAAACAAGTATGTTTTGTAACCTAGTACACTAGATTGTACATAATTAGGATCACTATTATTATTTAAATATTCCCATTATGATAATTGGAAGACAGAGTTTGAAGTGAATAAGTATTTGTAAATATAATTGTAAAGCTTAATGACAATTCGCCGAAAATACGTATTCGCTTCAAACTCAGTTTTCTATCTATTATTATTATTATCATTAGTGATATGTCCGAAAAGGAACATTAGATAGTCTAAGTTTATTATTTTAATTTTACTCTTCAATGCATTCGCAGACATAACAAATGTATATATGAAAAAAATATTCAGATAACATGTCGTAAATATTCATAGCTAGTATATAATTGGTACTAACAATTAACTGTAAGACAAAATACAATTTATCACTCTCATTAAATCAGTAGATTAGAATACAAATAACTAAACAGAATAAAATTATGCTTACATATAAGTATGACAGTGGTTATTTTTCAAAAACGGAAAAGGTGTATTTACTTGCTATCAGTTTACTGCGTAAGCAGAATTTAATTTTATAGTTTGTGATGCATACTATCGACAACTACTAGTAGTGTCATGTACACGGTATACATAAATGCCATATACTTAATAATACTTATTGAAGAGTAATCACTGGAAAGCGGTCATTAGTATTAAGGACCAGGATAGGCTGTCATAAGTTAGTTGAATTCTTACAGTACACACACTACCTATGTCTGTCATGATGTCCAAATACTTTTATTCACATAACTTTGAGGTATATGATAGAAATCTAACGTTTGACTCATCTGAATCTGACTGCAGAACACTTCTGATTGGTGGGATCGATCTAAAACTATTCATACCAGTTAACAGTATGCATCAAGAAACCTTCCTATTATCAATCTCGTCACGTTTTATGGTATCTATTAGATCACATATTACGATTTGAATATTTTGGTTTTGAAGAGAAACGACGGTGGGGAGTCATAATTAGGTCTCGCTTAATTGTGCCATTTAGGGTGTGTATATTCCAAACGCACAGTTTAGCTGTAATAAATAGATATCCTTTTCATCTCTGATTATATGGATATCAGTCAGCAGATAAGCATCACGTCAGTTAATAGTTGTCAATTGTTTAGTCACTGATCCAACTTATTAAGTAATAGTGAAAACTAGAATTCTGGTCGTGGATGCGTATTGATGAGGAGTCCCACACAAGCTATCAGGTTTTCAATGGTTCTCCAACTGATGTCGGTACGTGATGATCAGTTAACTTGAAATGGTGAAAAGGAAACATAAATAGGCCAGAAAAACGGCAAGTAGGGGAGTGTTTAATCCATACCAGTACAACCACAAGAAATAACCGATCATATTTCAATTCAGTGAGGCAGGTTAACAAAATCAACTATGGAAAGATCCTGATATTCCATTTCATACTAAAGTTAATGCTGATGATGTTAGCTCAAAACATAAAGGTTTTATGATTGAACCATTCAGCTTAACGAAAGCAGTATCAAAACCAGTTAGCTATATTTTCAAGACACTAAATATTTAATTGTAATGTGTTATTGCTTGTATTATACCGTCGTTGACTGGACCGAATTGATCGGTCTCTATTGGCATATGAGTTCCTGTGAGCATGCCTCGATATACCTGTGTAGTTCTAGTTATAGTAAAGATGGATAGTGGCTAGCAGTGGAATCCAGGATGCGCATCCTGGATTCCACTGCTAGCCACTATCCATCTTTACTATTCAATTGTAATGTTAGAAAGTTTAGAACAGAGGACAAACATGTATTTGGTTAATAAAAGAGAACTTGGATATTGTGTAGTAGAGTAAAATTCCAACATACTTATTTTTAATGTGTGAAACAGAGTGATAGAGAATTATTTACTGGATGACGTTCCAAGCAGAATTTATTGTTCATTCTCTCCATATCCGGGATTGATACTATGCTATTCCCACTACATGTGTCGGGTGTCGATTTGATCAACAAAGCTTCAGGTATCTATCTCTATCCACTTACTCAAGTTATTTTGCAAAACTGTTACTCTATCTCATAATATAAGGTGATTGTGTGACAGCATTCATGGTTATGGTGCTCTTTTCTCAATTTCTTATTTTTCGAGGGTTTAATATTTTATACTTAGAAAGGTTTCTATATTCTACTGACTAAAGTGACCCTAGTCGTTTAGTTTGACAGCATAGTTAGTGAATGTTATTCGATAGACTAATCTGTGTTTATTAATAAATTCGACAAGATCCTTTAGGCGAAAAAGATTGTCTCAAAGTGAGTTTGTAGGTTTACATGCCACTCTAATGTCGGCCTTACTGAGAATCCTACACAAAGCCGCCAATGTCTCTTCTTTATATCTTAAAACAATGAAGGTTTTATAGTTTTCTCTCGCGGCTTTTTTTATCAACACTGTTCGACCGTAATTGTATTAAGACTAATATCTTTGTTTTATACTTCTCATCAAGTGTTTCTGGATAAACTCACAGAGTAGTTCTTGAGTAGCAACATACCTTCCATGTTTCAGTTTTTGATACAGATTTTCTGTCTGACAAATCACTCTTCCTGCCCTTTAATTTAGGCACTTAGCTAAGCATTCCTCAACTGATCTCTGAAAGGATGACTTGCAGTTCATGCACCGATTAAAGTATGGAAGCTTTTTGTAAACGCTGATATCTAAACTTCCGCCTTGCCTTCATTTGATTTCGCAAAAGAACAGCTAATTCTCCTTCATCACTTACTGAGTTTATGGGTATAAGATACTTGTCGCTATGCTTTTGTTTCCACATTCTATATGTATCATCGACCTATCTCGGCTATACACCTGATGCATTTATTAAGAATGATGCAACATCAATTTCAGATACGCAGAGAATTTTACTACCCATTAAATCAAGGTATAAAAAACAGTGGAACTATGAAGAACACTAATTCAGAAAGTTATGTGATTATTCTGATGTGATTACGAGTGATAAATTGTGCCTGAAATATCACTAGAATATAATACTGTTTCACTGTGAGATCCTCACTGAAAAACCCAAAATGGAGTATATTTGAATGCCTCAACGCAGTGTTTATTCAGTGAAAAATCGACTGGCTATTTTTGTATACCAGGCCAGCATACAATAAATAAAGTGATGTATAACCTTCAACAATGAACTTTTGACCTAGGGAACATAATATTTGTATAACTGCGTTTTTTATATGTTTATTACTTCAGTATATGCTTTTGTATAGTGCTGCATTGGTGTACGTAGAAAAAAAGGTATAATTAGTAATGCAGTTAGTAAGATATGGAACCAATGCAAGTCAAAGCCTGAAGAACAACCCTCAACAGTCAACGACAGAGATTTGTTACATTTCAATGTTTGCCTGTAAAGATGAGATCATCAGTTAAGCAACATGAAACGTGATCAACATGACTATAGCATACGAAGTTTTGTCAAAAGCAAGGTGAAACGTACAAATTATTGACAGCAGTGATGGGGTTGCATTTACTGAATTTCTCCTTAAAAAAACAGTTTAACAAGCAACATATGAACTGGTTTTTCACAACATTGCTAACGGTCTCAATGGCAAGGCTGAGTGAATTCATAGAAAAAAAACTACACTATCTAGCTAAAACCCTGGCCAAGTGAGTTCTTTCTTTAAAACAAGCTGTTTTGAAGTGACGCTAACAGTTTCTCGTGACTTACAGTGATACTCATAGGTACATCAGTGGTACCACTGTACAAATAGGCCATATTGATTTGAGTACAGTTTTAATGGATATGAAATAGGCCTAAAATTGTCTGGTGTGGTTAGCAGGTTAACGGCAAGTGACATTTCAGCAACTGCTATTGCTTGTCTGCCAAAGTAGTGAAGAAGGCATACATTTTATCCACATTCCATCTACTTGATTTAACACATAATGACAGTTTTACCAATTTATTCATTGATTGTTTGGTTACTGAGTAAATAATTATTTATCCCTGTGCAATAGCAGATGAATAAACTCAATACACAGAACTACATTTCAATAATGGACACATATTTCCAATGATTTGTACTGCATCAGTAACTTTATTTGCGAGATGCAAAATTTGAAAAACATGTGTATTTCATGATTTATTCAAGTTAGTGAAACCTTAGTCAAAGTTTTAGGCTGAAGAGAATTCTCAGATAGTTCTGAAGGCAAGTAGTTCATGTATGTCATAAAAAGGGATAATCTGTCTGATAAGAAACACGAGGAGACCCACCAATTTGGTACCACGGGTTTCAAAACTAATCATCGACTGGCGAGATCAAAGAGAAAAAGTGCACAACTTAAATTACCAGATGAACTCTGTTCATAAGTATCATCGTCAGGTTCGCTAACAACTGCTATTTAAATATAGACATAACTTTTGATTGGAGGGTGGGACAATTTTATAGCCAGCTACACTGAGAAACGGTAGTACAGAAGATAAAAGCAATTTACACGACGGATTTAGTAGATATCAAGATGAGATCCTAACGCAGTAAAAATGAAATAAGTTGAACGTGTGGCACATGGTTCATAATAGGAATTTATTTTTATAAAATCTCACTGAGACGGAGAAAGAAGAAAACTAATCTAGTTTAATATTTAACTACTTCAGATTAGGTGGAGCTAGGGCTCATTGATTTATGAAGTTGACTTTTAACAAGTAGGTCACGGGATCGAGCACCTCTCCACCTGCCGCGGTTTGGGCAGCCAGGTAGTATCATTAACCCTCCAACAATAAATATGGTTCATTCCTCATTGCACAAACATGAACAAAGTTGCTGAGTGAATTTCGATTTGACTTCAGGTTGTTAAAGATCAGAATAACAGGACAACGTGAAGGAAAATCGACTCGAAGAATAAAATAGTAAACAAGGGGCAACAATGAAGTGGAAGGAAACAAAGAAAATAGAACTGAAAGGTAAGTTGCAGGAAATTTGAAGCAGTATAGAATGCTTAAAGTATCTCCATTTCGCTTTTATTGTTGAACTCTATAACCTCGAGGGGTAAGGATCTTAGGAGATTTTAAAATTACACCTGAACAACAATTTTTGGTTAGATGATGAATGAAGATTAAGCGTTCAAATACTCACCATTTTGATCACCAGAGCGTGAATGCTTTCGACGAGTATATGTACGTGTGTCTATTTCATTAGATTTCTTGAACTGAGCATCTACATCATATTGTGGCAGGGTATTTCGATTGTAGATGTTTGGACTAGTCAGATTCTCAGATTTCTTTCCCCTGGAAAAAGGAAGAAAGTTTCAAACCATTGCATATTTAAAATTTGAAGTAAAATCTGATCTAAATTTATTAGAAGTTATATGGCAGATTTCATGTAATATGAACCTTACTTGTTCCATCTCTTCAGGAAGAAAGTTATCCAAAATGTGGATGTGTTATGCATAAGATGGGAAAGTAACCAGACAGTTAGCCATAAATTCATGCACTGACTGTAAGTTAGAGAGGTAAATCGAGCGTCAAATGAACGTACGTTCATAAAATGCCTACATCTCTAGGGTGATAAATGGAGTTCATCCTGATCTAAAAATCGAAGGTCAAATCTATATTATGATGGCAGGAGAAAATAAAATGGATCATATATAATGCTATAAGATCTACCTAAAGCGAGCTAAAAAGAATCCGAAATTTCTTAATCACACAAATGAATGAAGTAGGAATTAGTTAATAGCTTATAATTACGAGTTGGACTATAAAGACCACCACAGCTCCATAATCATGTGCAGGTTCTTGCATTCGGCAATGAGCTGCACCCATTGTGTAGGGTTTAATGATACGGTTCACAACCCCTACCACCACACGTGGAGCAGAGTGCAAACATGAAATCCACTACTTGAAAGTCAACTGTCTCGGTCAGTGAATCACAGTTGTAATGAGCTGACTGATACTTGCATAAACACAGATGATTAAAGTTAAGCCTAAAGTAACTTCTCTTTAGTTTCCCCTTCTAGTGGTGTAGTGGTTGTTAAAATACAACCAATATTTTTTGATGTGATTAAGACGATTAGGCGAATTAATATCGAAAACTATTCAGACATAAATAAATTCGGAATAAATCATGTGGAACATGGTGAAAGGAAGTTGTGTTCTACCTTCTCTTCATACATTATTTACAACTGTTTATGCGTGTCATTAATGTTTGGCACATTTTCAGGACGTTTAACCCACTTTTTCTGTTGACCGGAGAAATGTAGGAATAGATATGCAGAACGTCTGTAGTGGGTCGCTCTTTGTGAGAAAAAAAAACCCTTTTGCCTTTTTGAAGGATATTTTATGACCTGAATATGATTTATTCCGAATCTATTCATCTTTGAATAGTTTACGGTGTTATTTCGCTGAATCGTCTTAATGTCAAAAAATGTTGGTTGTACTTTAACAACTTGTCTAATTCTGTTACATAATACCTTAATGATCCACGATTTTAATCAGTTTTACGCTCCTTTCTGAGTTATTTGCATTCTATGAACCATTTTATATATTTTACATAGTCCATTTTGCTGTCACTCATACTTCAACTGTTACCAAAAGTATATTTATCGTTATCATTATTTATTGTTGTTTAATGTTCGAATATTCAACTTTGCATAATAGTAACCTATTCTTTCTCATCCATGTTGACTCACAGCCGTATTTTACTTTTCATAGTCGAGCTAAATTTCCCCACCTTATTTTTGTTTCACCTTACTTGAACAACTGGGAAAAACCTCTGTGACCAATTTGCTAACTCACTCATCTGTATTACATTGATCTTTGTTCCATATCACGTTGTGATTGGATGATCGTAAGGGTAACCTCCTCTACCAAAACTTGAATATTAGCCTGAGATATCATTTTCACACTCATGAAAAAGATCTTCCTAGCATGACCGAAGTAATGAGGAATAATACAAAATATCTGTTTATTTTTAATTTGTTTTAATACACTATGTCAGGATTACACAAGTAAAAGTACATCTAATAAGATTTATTGACTGTTACAATAATAATAATAATAGTAACAATAATAATAACTTTATTCCAGACAAAAGTTTCTAACACAGTATGGAATTCTCAGTGTGATATTTAAAAATTTACTCCTCGTATAGTATTTTCAAATTAAATAAAGATTGCAGTTAAATAATGCTACTATTAGCAGTATGATAAGCAATAATACACAACGACCGATTGTTTTTAGATTATCATCTACTTTGTCGGTATGTTGTTGCACAGGAAGATGAACAGGAAAGCACTCATATATTTAGTAGTATGGAACTATTCAACCAGTATAAAGATCCTCAGTTCCTACTAACCATTCCTGTAATACTCAAGTGATGAACTGTCGTGAACTCAAGAGTCCACTGTCATCTACCGTGATATTTTTTGCGCTTTTGTTGTTAACTTGTGTGACGATAAGTTGACAATCGAATAATTAAAACAAGTACAATAGAAGCAATTTGATGTAACATATGATGGAAAGGTCTTGGCAGTCCAAATTTAATCCAGGCCGCCAAGATTAACGGTTAGTTATCAAGTTATTCAAAATAGAGGAGAAAAACAAAGATTACATCGTGAGATGAGATCGGATTAAACAAGTTACTACGGCGTTAGACATTTTCATAAGAAATAAACTCTTTGTTATATTCTTTTGGTTAGTTTTAAAATTTCCCTAGCTAGTGATAATCTGGCATAAAAATCGTTCAAGAGAACTAATAAACTTATTTATCACTTGCTTCGTATTTCTTTTCCTAACAATCAGTTTATTTAATAAAATGCTTGTTTAAAATACATAAAATGTGATTGATATCCATTGCCTTTGGCTTTTCAACGTTAAAGAATTCTTTGAACATTTGATAAAATTCCAAAATACAGCGCTTTAATACGATATTTTCACAGTCAAACTAATAGATAGGTAATATGAAGATTAGGCAATTAAAAGACAAGAACAATTGCTAGCGTTTGGTTGGAATTTGATTCAACAGTTTTCGGGTTATGTCCGAAGTAGAGGTAAGAACCAAAATATGTAGATTTGAGTTTAAAATGATTGAAATAGTTAAAAAGTGTCTTATTTGTTCAAAAGAGTTTTTATCTTCGTTTTTCGTATCGATGTATTGCTAACGCTTCGAGGAACCCAGTTACGTACATCCACATAAGACTCAAATCAATATACAGCAGTCTCAAAGACTTCGCCTTCTAAGTATTATTCCGGTCATTAATTTATGATGCGATGACTGGCAGTGAGGAAAGCATAAGCTAGCCACCTCAGACGATCAGCGCTCATAGTCTATTTAGCGGTTTTGCTACAAGCAAGAGATGCCTCTTAGACAATAGGGATTGACGATAGCTTCTACAACTGAGGAGTGAGACAGAACGGTATCCCATTTTGAGTTACTACTCCTTCATTGGACTGTTAAAAATTCTCACTGTGAATCGTTGAAAAACTTTCTTATTTTAAGGTGACTAGTTTATAAGAGTTACTTCAGAGAGTCATATGTATAAAGGAAAGTAGAAAAAACCTTTTAATACAAGGAGGAAATCTTCTAAGTAATTTTCTCGTGACCTGGGGAAGCTAGTTACAACAACAACGAAATTATGGTTGCGAAATTCTACTGAAATATATTTTGAGATAATATTCTCAACTATATTCACGATATCTGAAAGGAGGGTAGACTAATAGATGGGAGATATTTTCTAAGAAACCCATTTCATTGCTATTGATACAACCAACATATCATAGTCCATTCTTGTTATACATAACATCATTAGGTTCAGTTACAATTATTTCCCATCATATTGCAATTGAACACCATCATATGATGCATAGAATCGGATGCACAGTGATCATGTAAAATCAGTTAAAAAGAACGAGTGAACTATTGGTTATTGTTTAATGACTTTTAACTAGAGGAAACACATGATATCCTTTTGAGTTTTACCGCATCACTTTCAACAAAATCAAAGAAACGTTAGCGCAGCTAAGAATACAGTCAATATATCTTATTAACAAATAAATATTTTATTCTCAAATTATGAATTTAACATCAGAAGCCGGTCCAGAGGTATCATCCGATTGATATTGGTAGAGTAATCTACATTTGAGAGGTCCTGAATGATACAGAAGGGAGGACACTAAACTCTATCATAATAACAAAAGTGTCTGCAAGTTATGAAGAGAACAGGAAAATAGCACCTTACACGTATATTGTTATTGAGTTTAGATAATTTTCATTCACCACTTTTTCCACCCTTAAGTGGCCATCAAGGTCGCACAATATTCGGTGTTCCCGTTACAAGTGGCTGACATGTTTGAACTGTCTGCATAGTTCCATGTTTCGTCAGATAAATATCTACTTTAACATCAATTCACATGTTGATAGCTTCATCCGTCAACAAGAACTCACTTCGACGATTTCATGTATAAGTGTTCACAGAATCATGTAATCCAGATGAATATCTTGAACTCATCGCATAAAATAACAGTAAGTAGAGTTGAGTCATTACAACAATTCTATTTTACCTAGAGTAGAAATTCAAGTAGGGTATAAAAAAATCCTGCAGACGAGACTAGGTGCCTTGAAGTGGACATATGTCAATAACATGAATATTTTCATTGATTTTCACTTCATTAAATAAACTGACTGCGCGAATTATTTTATCCATTCATTTATTCACTGGTGGTGAAGACAGATACAGTTGGTTCATGGAGGTATTCAATCATCAACAAACACTAAGAGAAACATTTTTTTATTGCAATAAAAAAGTTTCGGTATCTGAAAAGACTTTGAATTGAATTTGATTCCCATTAACTATAAACTATCTGAAATTAATCTGTACATCCATGCATGTGAATGCACAAGCAGATAAATAAAAGACTCAGCACGAATACAAACTCATTGCCGATGCACAAACAATTCGTATAGTATAAATCAATTCGCTCTAATACTTATGGAAAGTTGGTAGATGATCAAATGAAGTCTGCTGTACAGCTGATCATTTGAAAACGCCATAACAATGAATATGTAACACTCACGGAATAAAAAAATCTCGTATAATTCAATTCCACGGTATCTCATGTTAAATGAGAATGCCACCATCAAATCATTTAACAAGTTAGGTTCCCAGCATAATTTGTCAAATGAAAAAAAAAACATTAAGAGGAATCATCGACTAACTTACTTTATTTGTTGATAATAGAGGTGTAGAACACAGGCTAATTAATGGTCATTATATGCAGGACCTTTTAATTTATCCCATCCAGTAACCTACTACTCGGCTAAAGTATAGTGTATAAATAAGACACACTTTAATACCACTGAAAACTACTTCTAAATTAAGTGAAATGATGTTGGGAGTAGTTCGTGAACATCTTTGACGAAATTACATAGATCAGTAGTAAAATATATAATCGAGCTTAATTACGATGTTGAAAAGCTACTCATTACTTTCAAAGCAGTTTCCATCACAAATGAAACATTGAGAAATAAAGATTAATGGACAGCTATTCATTTAAGTTTGGGACTTCTACATCATTCATAAACCCAACGTCAAATAAGTCAATCTAGAAAGTAGAGGTATGACAATTAAAATGACAAGAATATTCCAGTTCGTTTTGCAAGATGAATACATTGTCACTAAGCATTTCCAAATTGATCGATAAGAACAAAAAGAACGACTGCTTGACATTGTATTGTCCTCATAAATGACTTTTCTGATCTTAGTAGTGTGAAGCGAATACGATGACTTGATCATCATTTTTCAGCATCTCGTTTATTTACAGGACTAGTGTTATTGCCTGTATTACACTATCTATATATACTATCCATCTTTACTGTAACTAGAACACAGGTATATCGAGGCATCCGCACCTACAGGACTCTTTGATAATCGATAATAAAAGTAATAGTAATAATAATCCAATGATGTCGCACATTCCAAGCAGTAATTTTAAAGTCAAAGAATGTAAAACAAGATTAAAATAACTCAATTATCACAAAAATATGCAAAAATCTAGCTCTGTACAATGACTTACAAAAATATGGAACTGGAATTCTGCGATAACACATTGTTTGAAACCACTGCTTTCACTGCATCACTTGTCTCAATGAAACCTGAATCAGTTTGATCACGTAGTTGTTTTCGAGTCCGACATACAATTCGATTTGTTAAACTATGCTCAGTGCCCGAAGACATAGATGACCAAGACCTAACAGGTGAAGCTGGGTCCGGTACAGATGCTGATCCATGTGGATAATACTGAGATTTTCGACGATTGCATGAGTGAGTGCGAACCATATTTTGAATTTCATTCGATCGCGACTTATAAGAAGTAGGCTTTAAAAGAGACGAAAAAACAATAGGAGAGAGGAAATAGATGTAAGCAATGCCAAAACCAAGCGTTTACTGAGACGCGTATTCTGACTAATAAATCTAGCTACCAGGTAGAAAGTCTGTGTAAAAGTAGCTTGAATAATTCAGCTATCTGAGTTGAATCAACCGCGTCATAAAAGCAGATGATATTTACTGAAGGAAATAAAAAATGTTGATCTAAGTTCAACCATTAGATAGACAAGACGAACATAGGACCTAACAGTATTGCGTAGCAGTTCAAGTTGTCACAACTCATATCAGCACATCAAGCACGAAAGTATGTAGGTGCAACACGTGCCCAAGCCATCTGAATTGATGAAGGCTCACAACCTCACCATCTGACTCTCCTCTTCTCCAAATGTCCACACCAAAGTTTTACGTTACTCACGTGGTGACACCACGACACGGCCCATGCTGCGAAGGTAACGGTGGTCAAACAACAGAAGCCTGCTCAAATCCGATACTTTAAATAGCCATGTTTCAACGTCAAACAGTAAAACATGGAGAACTGTAGCACAGTACTCGCGATCCTTGATAGATAATCAGATATCACAGCGGCGACAGGAATGGCGAAAGCAAGTCAAGTTTTTTGTATCCATACAGAGATTTTGTCGGTCACGACCCATCGGAACTGATCTGATTTTCCATGTAAGTGAAGTGGTCAACACATTCAGCCATTTCACTCCCAATCGTTAGACGATGCATCAACGAAGTCCAATTCTGGCCCAACAGTTAACATTTGGGTGATGAGAAACGCATCCCAAACATCCTCAAATCATCATTTAAGCTGTCTTTGAGACTCAGCCTTCTGTCACGGTCTTCACCTAACAAGGCTATGTCATTTGCTTACTCTAGATCTACCAACCGTCGATTTCAAGTTTACGTCCATATTGTTACAGCTCAAGTCACAAGATAGTTGAGAAACAGTTCAACGAACCTTCAGTAAAGTTTCAGTAGCTCAAAGTCCAAAAATAGCTTTCTTCAAAATGTTTTATTCGTAGATGAGGCAGTTTCGTAAATGTCGGAAAATAGCACCACAAATAATTCAGTTACGTGGTCTAGGTTGTTTCGTACTGGATTGTTCATGTGATATTTTACACAGTGAGACCGTATTATTTACTGGGATTGTACATTATCACCCTGCCTGCCCAAGTTCTACTCTTAAATAAAAAATAGTAGATCCAGTGATAGTTCAAACCGAATACATATTCTCAAAAATAGACATAGCCTCCATTACTACCGTGTGTTACGTAAAAAAAGCATTTTTACACTGTTGAAAAAGGTGGAAAAAAGACCACCAGAATTACTTCCACTGTTTTAATGCTGTTTTTGACATCCCGAAACCATTAGCAAATTTTTCACATACACTTTTCGAAAAGATAAACAAAAATTTTAAAATTCATTTCATAGTTAGTAGCAAATCAGATGACCAAGAGTCGTAAAGGGGTCCTTGGTCTCATAGTTCTTCATTGCAACAGACTCGCACCAAATAGCCATAAAATGTATGACTGAAAAATCCTAGTTTTTGCTGTCGGGTGAATGATTCATTTATAAAACAATCTTTAGTTAAAATATTCAATGAGTAAAAAAATTATATCCTTAGTTTTCCGGAGTGGTAAAGTTAGAGTTTTATAACTACTCGATAGCTTTTTACTCATCGTAATTAGATATGGTTCAGCCCAAATGCTAATAGATGAGTTTGAAATTCGCAACACTAAGTTTCACCATAATTGTTTCATCATTTGCTGTGCCTTATAACACGATATTACTTCAAATTGTACTTCCTGTTGGTCCACGTCGTTGTACTTCATAGAAACAATAGCAAAGAGACATTTGCAAGAAAAAAACTGAAGAAATATAAATATTCATGAACTACAGGAAAAAACACTGAGACACTTATATCCACTTGGTGCTTCAGAAGTAACGGACTACTTAACTAGGCGATCTACTGTAATTATCACGCAAGGCAACTTATAGAAGTAAGCAAAAATTTTGCTACTTACATGTCCACGAAGGATTTCACACTACTGCACTCCTTTATCTCATTCTGGTGAAAACAGATTCATTACTTCCAACTTTAGAAGTAAACACTGAAGGTGTTAGCCTGAACACCCCTAAATTCTCTGATATGCATTTACAGCCTCTGCCAGAGAAGTTCTATTTACTGCCTTAACGTGGTGGTGCGGATATTTCTACTAAAATGAAAAGGTGTAAGCGAGTGTCCGGCGTTTATCACCGGATTAGTGGATACTGAGGGTCCATCTAGGGAAATCGGAAAGCCCTGATTCCCAAACAATGGTGCTCGTGGGCTCCGGGTTCCAGATGGAATGAATAGTGTATGAATCTACTTAGGTCACCAGCAACCATGGGAATGGAGCTCATGATGCTGCTCCACTGGCTTGTGGATTAGACTTTAAAACTAAAAGTTAAACATACCACTGAATGTAAACGTGCTAATAACTGATTCATTGTATCTGGATGCCGAATTGATGTCGTAGTCGTTGCTGTAGTCATTACTGTATGACCGGTGAAGCGATGTACATCTTCAGTTGTTCGATTATCCCGTCTCTTGATGGTAATGTGGCTGTTCCCAATATTCGCTGATAGGTTCAAAAACTGATTACCAGTGGAAGTCACAATATTATTAGGCAACAATTCTGAATATTCATGGGATTCAGAGTTCCTTCGTCTTGCATAACTACATAAGGAGTGAGATTCCTCATTACAGTTTAAATTGGGCATAAAGACAAAACGTTGAATATTCTACAAATGAACCAATTAAAAAGAGAAAAGTTGTGGTCATGAGTAATCGGCAGTCATCTAGACATAGATTTATTCCATAAAAAACACAATAATCAGTGAAAGGGTGTTTGTAATTGTGTGCTTAAAGGGAACAGAGAGAGGGGAAAGAGTAGAGACTGTCATTTACACTATGTTTCAACGGCAGTCTAAACACTAAGTTAAGATGAATGGACACGTGAGATTTCTGAAACTGAAGAAATCAGTTATGTAGTCAACATTACCGTTGAGTAAGCGTACGAAAGACGAACAGAATAATAAAACTGTGTTGTAGGTAGGCGAAGCAGAGAGGTGGTAATGAGCATATTTAATTGAATATTCCCTTGTCAAACAGTTTAAATGTCTGGAGTTTTTGAGTTTTGAACCTTTTCCACTATCATTCAGCAGCGTAAAGCAATACGGATGACTGATCATATCGCACTGCGTCCGACAGACAAACAGTAAACGTCGTTCCACAGATGACTCTCTCTTCTATTACTACTGAGTACTACAGTTGAATCGTTTTTTCAGTATTTTTTATTGCACTCAATAACTTGTCAAAATCCGATGGTATAAGTTGACACGGTCAACAACAACAACGAAAATTCAGTGTCATAACAACCTCATAGTAATCTAAAAAGACTGGAACAGAGAACATTAAAAATGCATATATTTCCTTTCCAATGTAGACTTTATTGATCGTTCTTTATGAAAGCAATATTGATGAAAATTAAACTTCTAGGTAGTGAAGGAAGAGGTAAAATTAGTTTTTCAAAGCTGTTTATCAGCCAAATAAATAAATTGATCCTTCGTTTGGCTTTTTTCATTATTCTTCTAAGCTAAAAAACTAACAGTGCCTTTTTATAATCAAAACTATTATTACCGGATTTTCCTTTCTTTCTTTGAAACGAAAAAAACCCCAAATACGGTCACTGTTTGTGAGTTGTTGCATAGGAGTATTTACACTGAATGATGATTGGAAGTGAGATGAAAATTTGGACCGCGGTGGGATTGGAACCAGGGACCATCACCTAGAATCAGTACTAGTCTGCCAAACCACGAGTACCTCACTCAGTGGAAATGATAACTAATATGCTGCTCACCCTCTTTAATTAAGTTAGATTTGGGTTGGGGTGAGAAAACCTGACTGGGCAGCCAGTGTGAGTACGACCAAGCGGTACTAATGCGTCACGAATTCAGATGACAGTCAAACAAAAACTTTGGTGACTGAAGTGAAATAAAAATGTAGTCCGCAGTTGGGTCTCGTAGGTAAGTTGATAGAGCACCGGGTCGGAAACCCGGTGATCGCTGGTTTGAATCCTGCTGTGTCCGAAATTTTCATTACACCTTTAATCATAACCCAGTATCAAAATGTCTGCTAAAAGACTGCAGATAGTCAAAATGATAAGTGCAAGTATCTGTCCTCTCTGGATCCACATTTGAAAGAAATACTTAAGTCAACTGAATCTATTTGCTGCGAAAGATCAGAAGTCAACCATGCGCAATAAAATTCCGAATACTGAAAATCAGCAGTAAACTTCTGATGAAGTCTAAGTGAAATAAAATAGATAAGTATAGGAAATATTGTGTATGAAAGCACGGGAGTTTCATCATTATCATTTTTTTCGAATAACAGCTTTCAGAACTTCAGGAACTCCCAACCAGCAGACTGTGTCCCCCCGTACACGTAACGTGGATATATACATCTGTATACTAAGTACAAACCAAATGGATATATTTCTATGAAACTTATTCCCTAATTTTTTTCTTAAACGTTAACATCTACTGTAATGGGTTTCTTTTTAACTTATGACGATTCATGTAAACATAAGTTATCAATGAACAAGGATCAAAGGTAGACTCCGATCAACGACGACCAAATAGTATGGTAAATCAAATAAAGCTGGTAAATACTAACTAAGAAATTTCAAGCCGGTTGGAGAATGGTAGTGTTTAAGGCCGAACTTAAGAACACTAAGTTTGATTCTATGTGGGATTATTTGTGAGAACTACAAACGGGTAGAACGAGAGAGTGATTAAGTACTTTCCACCCTTCAGCGGTTAGTCAGCTAAGATAAACTTTCAAATTCATCAGTTCTCCCAAAAACATCAAAATGAAGAGCACAAGACAGTTTTCCAAAAAAATTAGCAATGCGAAGAAACATACAACAGTTGCAAGTACCTCACAAAAAGACAAACTACTGGTTTATCCCTAACTTACACAAACTACTACTCATATAACCTGTTAGCCTCGCTCGAAATTTTCACTGCATATTTTATTCAGTAATGACGGTTACATATAGTTCAAATTTCCTATACAGTAGCTAAATGAATGACTTAACCCCACATGACACAGATCTACAGAAATATTTCAGCCTATAACAATTGTCAAAAATATAAATCTCACCTGTTTGTTTAGATCAAGTGCATTGGATAAGTTCGTTCTATACTTGGAAGCATTATTAGAATATGAAGAGGATGTAGACGGAGTGTTCGAAGATGAGTTCGATGAAGAACGATCAGGTAATTTTAAACCAATAGATGTTTGATGTGAACTGCTGTCATTTGTGTAAGCTTGGTTCATTCAAATATGTTTTAAATAGACGTGCAAAGACAATAACATGGACCCGGAAAAAGAAAGAAATGGGAATAAAAAACAATACGGTATTTAAAATGCATGCATTGAACAACAAATAAATAAAACATGTAAGTATATGAATGGAAAGATACAGAAACGTTTTGACTTGAGTTCAAATTGAACGAGATCATCACAATCATGTGAAATTATACGCAATAAAGAAATGATCAACAAAGATATAACATTTCCTGGATTGTCAAGATATATTTTAATGAGAAGTTGAAAAACCCTCATACAAAAAAACAACTTCCGATTCATCGATTCATGTGTACAATAAAGGAGAAAAATTATTAGATAGCTGGGAAATTGATGTACTGATAAAAAATGTTTCATTATACTAAGAAGTCAAAATATTATACAAGGAATATAGTTTTACAGTTTCTATAGTGATTGCTTGTAATCACCGATGAATATGATCATTACTTTAAACTATACAATTGATTTCAAATGCCTGAACAGTAAGATCATCAAAAGATGTTACTTTCCCAGATGAAAACGAACACAAAAAGTAATTAACATAATGTAGAGATAGCTAAATTCAAATAATATACTGAGATAATTAAACATCTGTCATTAAAACCATAATTGTTAGTGGTCAAACAAACATACAAACGATAAATGCAACTATTTAGTTGAGAACGCTTAATAAAAAACACTTCCTCGATTATAACTGTATGTGAACCAAACAAACTGTCATCGTGAATATTTAGTTTCAAAGATAATTCAAAGTTAAAAGACAGAAATTTCACAGGAAAACTGGATCCCAATCAACAGTAATGTTAAAATATTCTTTATCTGCGTGTATAACTAAGGACTTGGAAGGAACGGAATAGCAAAAACCAACTACTGATTATTTAATAGCTTCATGTGTTTTAAGCTGAAGATAAAAAGACAGACAGGGGCCAAAAGTGCTTCCTTTTGAAAAAGAATTGATGATACATTCTCATTCTACATAACCAGTAATATTCAACTAGTAATTATTCACATTCAGTTACCTAGTGAGTATAGTAAGAGAACTGATGTCATTTTACATAGGTATACGAAGTTGTATCAGATTTTTCAGTCCTAATTTCGATAACTTCTCGCGTCTGGAAAACAGGGAAGGTGATAGAACGATAAAAAGCCCGATTATATTGTTAGTGTATTTACGAAATACAGCTCTATTTACAGATTTGGAATTATTCCTAGAATAAAATTTGATCATAAATGCTAAAAAAAATTATAAAATCAGATATATGTACATGTCATTAATAGATACTCCTGAAACTAAAGAGCATGATAATTGGTGGTGAATATTGTGTGATCTATTCACGAATCTGGGAGATAGATTTATGCATGCTTATTGTAGTAAGCAGTGTTAAATCGATCAATTGTCCGATAACTTCTTGCAATGCTTTTCTAATAAAAACATACAAATTTACCACACTTAAAAAGAGGAAATATACAGCCTAATCAGACACTGAACGCAATGGACAATTACAAGTTTGTAAATGAGGAAATGGAAAAACAGCAACTAGAGTATGGCATTTCTTGCAGCCAAGCACACAATACATTAAACACAAGGATAAAATGTAGGTTGAACCAATATACATATATAAGTACTATAGACACGAATTCGCTGGTTAAATCCAAAACCTACAACTTCGCTAATGTCCAACAGATTATAGTTTTGATAGCATAAAACGAAATCTGTTAGGCTAGAAGAGAATGGAAGACAGAGTTCTAATGCAAATGAGAAAGAGAGCAACATTAAGCTTTTGATCATATTTGTTTTGACATATCAGAGTGGAAGTAAGTGATGTATAAAGTGAGAAAAATATGACATGAATGAGAGAAAAAAAAGGAAAACCATTATGAAATTTTAAAGGAAAAAGATGATTTATTTCTGGCTAAATAAAGTTTAAAAACTTTTGAAATTGGATTAAAATACATTTTTTTAGATAACAGGAGAAAAACAAATCCTTCAAAAGAAAACTCAACATAAAGAAACTACTATTACAAACAAAATTGCGCACTAAACGTATCCTTCTCAAAGTATTAGCCGTTTCTTATTGCATGTTTTTTCCTTTTACAGTGATCGGAAAATAAGGTGGTTATTTTCCACTAGCCCTATAAGAGAAGAAAGTGGTTACTGCATCTTGATGTGTTGTAGCAATTACTAATAGTTTGAGTACATTGATTGTTAACGGCAAGCTGCTAAAAATAATCAAGAAGTGCACATATCTGAACAGTTGTATCAGTGCTAGTGATGCGAAAAATGGAATTTCTAGTCCTATTTTAAAAACACCTTTCATTGACATAGGTCATTCGTAGAAACCTTATAAAATGTTAGCAGGCCGATGGAAATTCAAGAATATAGTGTTTAAGCGAGAAACATACTGAGAAACATCTATATGAGATATGGCTTCACCCAGCTAAAAGGTTGCGACAATTCCATGTCTTATCACTGTTGTTTCTGGAAGACTCCGAGCAGATTACAGTGATATAATGCCGAAAATCAAAATCCGTGGAAATAACACCACAGTTCATTGTTCTATTTGATGAACAGCAAAATAGCATTGAAGGGAGCTTTTTAGTGCCCTATTCAGTAATTATCATGCTTCGCTCATGCACCGCATTATGGAGATATCATCAGTTTACCAAGCTGTTTACACAGTCTACCATATTACGTTGTCATTTGATCAGTGTAACGAAAAGACAAGAAGTAGTTCATCATTCTCTTTTACAAATAACCACATAATCAGGCATCAACAACAGTGATAGGGAGTCAATGCGCATCAACTAACACAAGAATAGAAAAGAAAAACAGCAATACCTACGGGAAATAATATAATACCTGAACTCGGATATTATTCATCGGAAGATGCTGCATATTATTTTCATTTTTTGATGCAGGATGGTAGAAACCGATCGACAAAAAGCTTTGAGCAGGAGTTTCGTACATATCGGTATTCCTTAGTAAGTTATACTTACATCTTACATTATCCATCAAAATCCAAGCCCGCGTAACTCAAAAATAAGGTTGCCGATTTTACAAACATATCCTTTCAGGGCTAAAACAAGTTATTTCTTTCTTTCATGCCATAGTTAGCTTTGTATAAGAAGTATTTTTCATTCCAGTATAATCAAATGATAATTAGAGTGATAAATTGAATTTATGGATTCTTATTATTATTATTGTTGTTGGCATGTATACATACAGGGGTGAAATACCGTTAGTCCTTTATGTCAAATGCAGTTTTTCATCTTGGAAAACCAACATGGAGAAAATGTTAACTAGCAAACAAACTAAATTATTGTATATAGAAAAAGGGATAAACAAACAAAAAACTAACCACGAATATTTGAATTTTTTCCATCATTATTTGTACACGAGACAGTGTTATTATGCTGTGAATAGATTATACCATTATTTTGTACACAACTTGATGAAACAAAATTAAAATTAGTTGGTGTTGATTTGACACCACATGCCACATACTGTACAGGCGTATTTGAAGTGTTTATTAGTGGAATTGATCGAGTGGACATCGTATGTATCGGATAGACAGTAGATTTCATTTGTGATGTTCGTGATTCTGATTCCTAAAAAAGAATGGGGAGAAAAATATACACAGATATTGTAACGTACACTTCAACTTAGAAGAGATTTCGTTTTTATTTAGCGCTCATTTTTTGTATTAGTTCTACATTTGCTTTCCCACAAATTTATAATAGTTATCGATTTTTATTTTTCGTATTTAGCACCTCAAATCCTGCTTGGTACATTGTATTCAATTTTACGGCACATGAATATACTGTTCACCTGGAAGCTCACACATGCGTTGGTGTATTTATCAACCCCCTTCGAAAAACACTCGTTAGTTTTACCCAAGTTTCAAACTATTTCGGTTTATTAAACTAACAATGCGATCTAACTTTTACTGTCTTTGTTAAGTGGAAGGGAAACGGAGTAGAAAGCTGTTAATACTTTACTGCTTCGATAATCCAAAAGTTCCGTACAATACATATTTCCTGGTGACTGTATATGTCACATGAAATTAGAACAGACAGCACCAGTGAAAAACGCTCAGAAACTAAACAAGAATAAGATCTCCTATCTCAAGTGATTAGTTCTGCATGCATACACTAATTAATATATTTCTCAGCCTCAGCCGATACTCTCTTATAATCACCAAGTCCAGCTATCAAAAATATTTCAGATCATCTTAATCAGTGATCAATTATTATCTCGATCGGAAAGTATAATTAATTCCTTCTATATAAACGAAGTTAACAACTATGGAAAGAACAGAAAAATGAGCAGATGCATAAATCGTTTCTTATAGGACCAAGCTAATTTAGTTGTATACAATATTTAATTTTTTCTAACCTCTTATCTCAACCGCAAATAGCCGTTTCTGTAAGTCTAATTTTCGGCTAACAGATGTTACTGTTATCACTATCAAAGGAACTAACTGAAGTAAACAAATCTGACTTTATATGGCTAATTGCATTCAACATTTCTCTTCTGGCTTATACAGATTGGCTTATATGACCGTTGTCCCAGTACGCCAACATTTTTGCAGCCCAACTATTCTGATTGGTTGAATTTCAGATAATTAACAGTCGAAATCCAATTGCATTGAGGTTTAACCAGCAAACAATTTATCCACTTGAAGCAGGAGCTTAACTCTGACCTTATCTTTGGCTACTAAACACTAACCTGATGTTTAATTATAAAGTGAATCATCGCAAGGTACATATGGTCGTTCCTATCGCGTAACAAACTCCTGAGTAAACTACCACCTCCCTCATAAGAAACAGTGATAGAGATGATTGAAGACCATAGAAAGGTGAGATAAAAACAAAATACCCAAATTTTATAAATCGTTCCTAGTGGTAATGCACTCAGAGCAGAATGATTATCAAGAATAACCTAGTTTCCCTTTCAGGCAGCCCAAGTATTAAAAATATCTGTAAATGTTGAGACAGTCCATAACTGTCAACAGTCCGAGTAAATTCAGTAGTACTCAAGTTTACCTAACACAGAAATCATAGAGGCAGTCACAGGAAATAAAGCGTTTCAAAAGAAGCATAGAGTAGACCATTTTCATCTCTTTTATCCATCATTCTGTACAACTAATAAGAAAACTATAAGATATTTCTGTTGGTGATTTGTTGCAATTATCCACTCCATAATATATGTTTATTAGTACTCTTCAAAATTAGTTTCATTATATTCAGCTCCTTATGCTTACGAAAACAAATACAAAGCATATCACTTTTCCAAACAGGTTATATCATAAACTGAAGTCAGCTACTTTGTAGATCATCGGTAGTCAAAATTAAAAACTTCACACGGAGTTAAAACTTCGACCCTAAAGTGTGATGGTGAGAGTTACAGTTCGGCCAAAGCCTTGATATTCAGTGTTTAACATTTACCAGCTTTATTATAATAATGCACTCCGTAAAAAGGCGACTAATATAATCAATCATATACAACACGGATAAGGTAAAATGCTACATTGTTTTGGTTACTGCAATAATATCCATGTATTTAGGATAATCAGTGACCATGGACACAAAGACACATTTTAAAAACAACAATGAACAAATCAGTAGTATGCATTGACAATGAAATTACATTATTTTCCAACAGTCTGCGACAGTGTGGACCAGTAAAAAGTTAATGCGTAGGTGAATGTAGTCTAATTCTAAGCTTCACTAAATCAATGCCATGAAGAGAAAATAATTGTCAATTTTTATAAGAGACAATTATAACAAATTCATAAACACCTCGAGTCTTAAGGAATAAAATCAAATCATGAGAAATGTATTCAAAACTGCACACATATGAAAAAAGCGTAGTTTTTGACTTGAAAATCTTATTGATATTTTACTGAATATCAGAAATCTCGGCAATACACAATTATAAATAACAATACTAGGCAAATAATACTACTACTGAAGGGTAACTACCACACCTGCAAGCAAACGGTGATGAATAGTAATTAATGGTAACAGTCAATACAGGAGTTGGAATATTTAATACTTTCCGAAAGAAAAATGGCTCCAAACAGAAACAAAAACGAAGATGTTTTCACCGTCGAATGCGTATCAACTGGAAAAAACCCTTTGAGGGGAGGTAAATTTAAAAATATCTAAATAAAAATTGATAGGAACAAAAACACCCTTAAAAACTAATAAAAGTTATTTTATTAAGATGCTTATGAAGCTTATGTGAACGATAACTATTCACACCATATAAGTATTTACGCTTACCAAAATATTGCAGTAAATTCTTAGGTACAACAATAATCAAACAGTAATAACTTCACAAAGAAATGAGGTGTATTTAGTAAAAATCAGAGATTCATACAAGTGGAAATACTTTTAGTATGGATGAATTAAACTAAAAACCTACAAATAGATAGGTAAACAAAATATTGCGTAAACAACCAAGCAGCTTAAACATGCTACATTTCATATGAAGTCAAGGTTGGTTAAGTTACCCAGCCAATAGATGAGATGCTCAAAATAAATATTAAGGCTAAAAGAAGATAGCATTTGTAAGTCATATCATGGGCGATAAGCCTTTCCTATTACTTTTGAAATAATAGTAAAGCTGAAATTGTGATAGCTTATGGGGGATGGGGGTGGAGGTAGGGAGATTATAATTCTATACAAGAGAGATACCTTCATGCGACAGAACAAAGAAAACAGTGAAGGAAGCCGTTTCCAATAGTTTAATTCTTAAAACTATGCAATAATATAAAAATATTACATCCCTGATTGTAAACTCATTGCATACATGCGTGAGAAAATTTAGTTAAAATAACCTATTTTCGTAAAATCGCGTATATGGTTTTGTTAGTAGAATAAAAATGAAAATAAAAGAAGGGATTTGTGAAAATATGATAACATTCAGTCATTTAAATAAGCATATTATTGTAAGTAGGATTATTTTAATTCAAAGGAGATGAAAACAAAGTTTATGGGATGAGGTTATTTTACGAATTGTCAGTAGAATAGAATAATACAACGAGGTATCTGAGTAAATTTGATATAAAAGCCAAAATGGTTGGAGATGATCTAATGACTTATGATTACGGCAAGGAAAACGCTTTGAAAAACTGTTTTTATACGCATAGCTTTGCCTCAAAATTACGAATAATGAAGATTTCTGAAATGTTTGAGGTGAAGGATAATAAAATATCGTGAACAATATCCCCACTCCACCTACTGAGGTTTGAGCAGCCAAGTAGTATCATTAGCTCTGATCCAATAGGGGTTGCTGGCCGGCCCAGGGACAAAGCCGCAAATTGTTGACACGTTATACATTTTTTATACACACAGAATACTAAATAAAGAAATCAGCGTTGGAAAGCCACTAATCCACTTTATATAGAATGACAGACAAAATCAACGTAGGAACTAACAAACAAGTGGATCGGCTCAAGTTGCCATACTGCACAGTAGTATACAAAGAACAGTTGGGTAGAAAAAGACTGATATCAAAGTAGAGAAAGTTGTGCGACAGAAAAAATCTAAGGTGTGTAAATATAGTGTATATATATAATATATAATATAATATATAGTGTAAATATTCTAGCTTAAGAAAATGTCAAGGAGTGAATACATCTTCCCGACTGTGACCGATTTTCAGTCATCTCGTAAAGTTCTCAACCACTTATTCCCCTCGTCTCAGTGACCCCAGCTAGGCAGCCTACATCTCCCCGCATGACCTAGACCAACAATGAGAGACTTCATCAACCAGTTCAACGTTTCGATCTGGTCACCCTAAACCCTCTTCCAACTTAATCCAACTTCCCCTAGCATGGCACAAAGAGGAACGTGGTGGCCCAGGATGCGTAGTTTATGCACAAACCATTTCAGTTGACTAAGGATCACAGCCTCATCGACCGACTTACCTATCTTGCCTGGTACCCTTCACTTGACTTCAACATTCCTCACATGGTGATTCCCCAAAAGGCAAGCAATGATACGAAAACATCTATTTTCAAAACCCTGTAATCGCTTCATGTCTACTTTTAACGGTTATGTCTCACAGATACATAAGAGGGCAAAACGAACTGCAGCGCAGCATACTTGTCCTTTGACATCATGTCAGCGCCATATGTGACGCAAGTTAACAAATGTCAAAAGGGCTTTCTGTATCCCAGCAACCAGCTCTTTGGGGTTGATGAAGTTTCTTGAGTAAGTAAATTGTTCGACAAATTTTACCATTTCACTCCTTATCATTAAACTAGGAGTCCTTACATTTCACAAGTTAGAAACATGCCAAACATACTCAACGTATCTAGAAGACCTTGTGTATTGTCAGCATCTTCATCTTGTAGGACAACATCGTCTGGATACTCCAAGTCAACCAGATGTCCTCCTGGGAGTAGACCAGACAACATGAAATCAGAGGCACCTAAGTTTATGTTCATCAATACATATACAATGAAGCTGAACAATAACGGTAACAGCTGACATCCCTGATGGACACCACTAGTTGTTGTCATCTCAGACGGCAATGTTTCACAGGCCTTTACACAGCTGCTTGAGTTCGAGTAGAGAGCTTTGATTAGCGTTATATA